ATATTATAAATATAGAATATATAGATAGTATATAGCTAATAGTATAGCTTATTTTACTTATATAATAAAATTTATTAAATATTTTATTAACTAAAGCGCGACTCTTTAACAGTTAATAATAAAATTTTAATTTCAGTATATAGTTCTACTAATTCTTTTTTATAAAAATATATATTTATTAGTTAGATAGTATATAAACTATATTAATATTTAATCTATTTTTATTTATCTATATATTATAGTAACAGACTAATTTTTTAAAATAATAAATAATTTATTCTAATTCGCCGGCGTATATAGTAATACTATTAAATAGAATTTTAATATATTTATTATTAGATATTATAAAATCGGAATTATAGTAAGTTTTATTAGCAGCCTATATTAATATATAGTTAAATATATTATTAATATTAAGATAAATAACAGTTTTTTTAGTATCTAAATTATAGAATTAATTACTAGAGTTTTTAAGTAGATAAGTAGTTGCGAACTTAGTATTAGTAATAATATTTAAATATTTATAGTAAATAATTATAACTAGTTTTAGGGAATTGTTAAATATTTACATAAAAAAAATTACTATTAATAAAATATATTTATATAGTTAGATATTAGCCTATTATACCACTAGTTAGTTTAAATATTAAGTTATATTTAGTTAGTAATCGCAATTAAATTTTAATAAAAATTTTACTAATATAGTAAAGCGGAATAATAATATATTTATTAATATAAATTAGTATATTAATTAAACAGTTCTTCTTTATCTAAACTATAATTAAAATAATTAAATTACTATAAAAGTAAATAGTAGTAATATATTAATTAAAATTAAATAAAAAATCTTTATAAATAATAATATTAATTTTAATAAGTAAATATATTTTTAAGCTATTAACTAGATATATATAAATAGTAATTTAAGTAAAAATATTATTAATCTTATAATTAGCTAACTAAATTTAACTAGAGAAATAAATAGTAAATTTAATATAGTATATAACTATATATTTTAATTTAATACTAAAGATATTAATAGAGTAAAATATATTTTAAAAAATAATATTAGATAGTACTAATATAAATTTAATATTAGTAATTATAAATAAGTAACTAATATCTAGAATAATTTTAATAAAGTATTTAATTATATTAAAGCTGGCTTTTATAGTTAGATATTACTAAATATATAGTTTAATAATAGAATTATTTTTATATATATTAAATCGCGAAAATTTAATAATAGTAATTAATAATATAAAAGATTTAGATATAGTTACTTAAAAATATTATATATTAGATATATAGTTAAAATAAAGATATTAATAAAAATTATTATTAAAGTAGAATTTATCGAACTCTAGGAGCCTCAGGCACCTCGGATGCCTTAGGCCCTCTAGGGTTTCCTAATTGGGAAGTCCCTATTGACCTGACTAGATAATATGAACCAATGAGAGCTAAGGAAATTGACAATTGAACTAGATGATTAATTGAATCTAGTAAACAACTCTGGTTGACTCTAGCCCTGAACCATGGGTCAGAAGGCCCTATTTATAGTATGGTCCTAAGGCCTAGAGTCTTCTAGAAGCAGGCAATCAAAATCAGGAATGACGTAGGAACGCAAGCAGATGACGCAATAGAATCAGAAAGAATAGATCAGAACAATGCAAATCAAAACAATAGAAATCAATAGAATCAATCTGGTGGTTGCCTAGACAATAATGGCTGCCTGAAACAGATGCCTGATTCTGCTGACTAAATGGCTGCCTGAGGCAGGCACCTCTACTGTCTGACACACCCCCCCAGGTTCTAATATTGAAAATAGTAGAACCTGCAGACTTTTCAGACAGTTTGATCAAAACCTCACTTTTAGGTAGGAATCCCATAGAAAAGTGAAGTCAAGGTGACAATTCGGAAATATCTTCCATATTCAGATGTTTCATGAATTCCTGATGTTTCTGATAGGTCAAACGCTTAGTCAGACCGTCAGCAATCATCTGATTGGTCGGAACCCATTGAATCTGAATAGATCCATTCTGAACTTCCTGGCGCAGCCAATGGCGGTGGATGTCCACATGTTTTAGTTTCGATTTATAAGCAGAGTCCTGCTTAATAAGCAGGTCAACTGTCTGCCTATTATCGCATTCAATTGCAAGTTTCTGACTAGGGTTGAACCCTATAGCCGAGAAAAACCGTTTCCACCATAAAAACTGCTTACTAGCGGTAGATAACGCGAGGAATTCAGCTTCAGTGGTGGAAAGTGTTATAGTCTTCTGTTTTCTAGCTGACCAATCAACTGGTCCGCTATATAGGGTAAAAATATACCCTTCAGAAGACTTTCTGCCGGCAGAATCAGCAAAGGCGGCGTCGCTGGCAACCCTGAATGGACCTAATTGGGAAGGCGGTATAGGTCCTTGGTAGGCAATTGACCAATGGCGTGTTCCGTAGAGGTAAGAGATCAGATGATTGGCTGCCTCCATATGTCTAGAAGTCGGCTTAGTCAGGAATTCTGACAATTTCTGACATGCGTAGGCGATATCGGGCCTAGAGATAATCGCTGCATATAGGGCTGACCCTACTTTTTGTTGGTATAGCTTTATCTCTTTTGGGCCTAGCGTCGTTTCATCAGCCGAGATATCTAGATTTTCTGCCGGGAGCGGTGTTTTTGGAGGCTTCCGATTGGTCAGGTGAAAGCGGTGAGCGATCTTTTCGATATAGTCCTTCTGCGAGATCCAGAGCTTCCTTTTCGACTTTTTTCGATGAATTTTCATATTCAGAAATTGCGTCATTTCGCCTAGATCCTTGATCTGATAGGTCGAACAGAGGGCTTGTTTCACTTTTTCGACCCTTTCCCTGTTTTCTTTTCTAAAAATAATGATGATGTCATCTACATAGATGACTAAGATCATGAATTCATTGACATAAACACAGGGATCCTCTGGAATAGGGTCTAGACCTAGTCGTTTTAGGGTTTCGCCTATTTCTCGTTGCCATAGAAACGGCGCCCTACGCAGTCCATATAGGGCCTTTTTCAATTTAAAAATCCTATTTTTAGGGCCTAGCCCTGGAGGCGGTGAAACATAGACTGTTTCATCAAGCTGACTATTCAGGAAAGCGTTCACCGCATCTAATTGGACCGCTTCTAGGTCAAAAGCAGCTACTAGGGCAAGAACAACCCGCAGGGTTCTAGAACCTAGGGTTATAGCCCTAGTATCGAGGTCACTGATTGGCTGAAGGTCCCCTCTAACGCAAATCCTTGCTTTGAATTTCGATAGGAAGCCTGATTGGTCGAACTTGTAGGTAAAGACCCACTTCAGCGGTAGAGCTCGTTGGTCTGGACCAATAGAATCGATCGAAACAGGAGTCCATGTGTCCATATTAGTAAGCTGCTGGTATTCTACCTCTGCAGCTCGAATCCAGTCATCTCGAAATGGACTATTGACCGCTTCTCGCCAGTTGGCAGGTGGAGGAGGTAGGTCATTTTTATGCAGTTTTTTATGACCTAAATCAGTCGAAAATGCCTGAAGAATTGCATAATTTCTCGGAATTTTCGATGGTTCGGGGTCCGGTGATGGCGATCGTTGCCTTTTTAGGCCTAGCGGCTTCATAATGTCGTCATAATCGTCGAATTTGAACTGACTATTATCGATGACGACATCAGGGGCAGGCGGAACAGGTGATTGAGGCGGTGAATCAGGTAAATCACCTAGAACTATGTCGTCCTGACCAATAGAATCCTCTAGATATTCCTCATTTTCTTCTTTTTCTTGATTTTCTAGAGGTTCCAGAACATCTGCAGAGTCTTCTAGGGTTCTAGAATCATCTAGATCTAGAGACATTTCTGCATTTTCTGACTCATCTGACTCAGCTTCAATTGAATTAATTAAGTCATTAATTTCTGAGTCAGTTAGGGCTTTGACTTCTAGCCCTAGGTCAGGGTCAAGTTCGCCTAATTGACCAGTAGGATCGTCTTTATAGACCCTAGATTCATCAAACACACAATCTCTTGCAGAAATGACCTTATTTCTAGATGGAATCCAGACCCTCCAGATATTTGAAGCCCTATACCCGACTAGATATCCAATCAGGGCCCGCGGTTGAAGCTTACTCAGCCTCGGAATATTGATAATCCGCGTGTAGGCCCTACAACCGAAACGTTTCAAGTTTGAGATATCGGGTTTTGACGTCATATAGCCGGGTTTCTCGGGTAAGGCAGTATATAGAGCTTCATAGGGGGTCTTCCAATCTAGAGCTCTGATTGGTGTTCGGTTCAGGATGTGGGTCGCCGCGCTAACCACTTCTGGCCATAGAAACATGGGGATCCCGGAGTCGACCAATAGGAGGCGAGATTTCATGATAATCAGTCCTCCAGAGCGTTCAGAAAATGGGTTTTGTTCTGGTTGGTCAGGCGGTGAAGTATTGAAAATCAGGCCTTCTGATTGGTCGATGAACTCGCTTAAATTCAGGTCATTGTCTGAATGGACCCGCTTTGGCGAGACTCTATACTGGTTCTTGACCAATAGAATCATTGAATTCAGGGACCTAGAAACCTGTTCTTTGGTCTGCAGGGTCTGGGCCATGTGGAAATGCGTCATTGGATCATAAATATGACTAATATAGTTCATATTTCGCATGCCCCGCTTCATATGAATCAGGTCCCAGTGGATTGTCTCGAATGGCTGATCGCCTCGACCAATAGGACGTCGAGAAATCTGGCGTTTTGACTTGGAAACTAGGCAGGTCTCGCAGGGTCCTAGTTCCTCGCTCTGGTTGGTCAATTCTGCCCCACTAGTTGCCTGTTCAAGATGTTTTAGGGCTTTAATGCCTGGATGCCCTAATCGCTGATGCCATAGTTCTATTGACCCCTTTGAGATGATTGGCTGATCAGACCGCTGAATCTGATAGGTCTGACTGGTCTGATTGGTCTGTTTTCTAGAGTCTTCCAGCTCTAGAGTCGAAAATCGGTCCGGTAGGTCATTCTGACCAAAACTCTCACTTTTATATGGGTTTCCCATAGTAAAGTGAGCGGAAAGTGAGTATTCGCCCCATCTAACTAGGGAGATTCCCCCTGTTTCATATATCTGGCAGACTTTCGACCCATCTAGGCCCTCTAGGCAAGGAACTCTAGAATTATAGAATATTCCCGCCTTTTTGGCCTTCATTGCAGAGAGAATATTTATATGGAATTTAGGCACATAGGCACAGTCCTTCAGTTCAAAGGTAGTCTGCTTTCCATAGCAGTTTGACGGCTTCATCAGGACTGTTCCAAAACCTAGGATCTCTGCATGTGTGTCGCCTATTAGGACTTTCGATTCCCTAGGAGTATAGTCCTTGAAGGCTGACAAATCATTGCAAACATGGGTGTTTGAAGCGGTGTCGAAGGCCCAATCAGATCTAGAATCGGTTGTTTGAGCGGTTGCTAGGGCGACAGTTGCCATAGTGACGGTTAAATTGGTCGTTTGACTGGTTTTGAACTTCTGCAGCGCATTTTCATAGGCCCTTTTGAATCCAGGGTTCTGATTGGCCCGTTCAAATCGTTTTTGTGCCTCAGGATCAGGTGACCATCCAATAGGGCGTTTTGATTGGTTGGTATAGAGGCATTCGCTGAAGTCATGGAAACCGTCATTTGGCTCTGATTGGCAGGGACATTTTCTAGGCCTATTTCTAGGGATTCTAGGCCTAGCATTCGGGTTGTCTGATTGGCCCATGAATGTCGCGTTTGCAATGTTTGCCATGTGACTATTCCTTTTTGGGCTTAGTTTGATATGGTCCCTGAACCGCTTAGTCACCTCGTAGAACGTCGGGATTGGCTCGTTCCGCTCGGATTTTTCGATCAATTTGTCGTGCCAGAGGGTTGAAAAATAGGGCTGAACAGTATGGATCGCCTCTAGGAAGTCATAGAGGGCTCTGATTGGTGGATTGACCTCGCTTATGTCGAGTTCTTGGGCTTCGGAATAAAGGTTTTCCCACTGAGAAATATAGGACTCTAGATTAGGGCTTCGAACAGAGGAGCCCTGAGCCCTAAGCTGGTGGTATCGACCAATCACATCGCGTTTTCTTGCTTCATTTGTCGGTGCCAGCTTATCTCGGAGGATTCGAAGGCTCTGATAGGCGGAATTCGTATTGATGATTGCTCGCTTGTTTTGCTGACTAATCGAATTCTGAATAATCATATGAATTAGGGTTAGACCCTTATTCACATGGTCAAATTCGCGCATCTGAAGTTCATACTCGCGTAGGAGGTCTCGGTAGAGCTCCCTATTGGCTGGAGAAAGGTCTAGGATTGACGTAGCTTCTCCCTGAATCCTTGATGGAAACGGGTAGGCGGGCCGTTCCGGCAGAATAGGCTCTTCTGGTTGGTCAGGATTGATGTAGCCCCACACCCCTTTATTTAGGGCAAGGGTTTTGATTGATCGAAACCAGAGGAGCCAATCAGATGAGGTCGATAGAATGGTCGAGATTCGGTCGGTCATTTTCGATAGAACGTTCTAGAGCTGTCAGAGCCTTCTAGAATGGTCGAATTCGGTTGATGACGTCGGTCAGAATCGATAGAATCGATAATCAGGTCAGATTAGTCGGTAGAAATCGATAGAGGTCGGTAGAATCGGGTCAACTGGTCAGATCGGTCGAATTGGTCCAATCAGATCGGTCGAATCGGTCAAGTCAAACAGGTCAAACAGGTCAAACAGATCAAATCGGTCAAATTGGTCGAATAGGTCGAATAAATCGGACCAATCAGAATGGTCAAAACAGGTTGATAAGGTCGGTCAGGTCGGATAGGGGTAGCGGACCGGGCTCATAACTATCGAACTCTAGGAGCCTCAGGCACCTCGGATGCCTTAGGCCCTCTAGGGTTTCCTAATTGGGAAGTCCCTATTGACCTGACTAGATAATATGAACCAATGAGAGCTAAGGAAATTGACAATTGAACTAGATGATTAATTGAATCTAGTAAACAACTCTGGTTGACTCTAGCCCTGAACCATGGGTCAGAAGGCCCTATTTATAGTATGGTCCTAAGGCCTAGAGTCTTCTAGAAGCAGGCAATCAAAATCAGGAATGACGTAGGAACGCAAGCAGATGACGCAATAGAATCAGAAAGAATAGATCAGAACAATGCAAATCAAAACAATAGAAATCAATAGAATCAATCTGGTGGTTGCCTAGACAATAATGGCTGCCTGAAACAGATGCCTGATTCTGCTGACTAAATGGCTGCCTGAGGCAGGCACCTCTACTGTCTGACAAAATCTATTTTCTAAATATTTTAAAGGACTAATTATTATAAAAACTTATTTTCTATTAGTTAACTTTAGAAGTTCTATATTTCTATAGTTTAAAGTAGTTAGTATAGCGATTTATATTTTAAATTAAATATTAATTAAAGCTTTAAAATAGAAAACTTTCTATAAAGCTCTATATACTATTTTATTTAAGAAATCTAGCTATATAATATTATAATATTTTAATATTTTAAATTTAAAGTGTTTTAGCTGTAGAGCTTATATATAGATTATTAATATTCCAAAGCTAAATAAGCTTTAACTATAGATTTTAATTAGCTATTTAGTTAGGTATAGGGTTTTAAATATCTAAAAAATCTAGATTCTATTTAAAAATAATATTATCTCTGTAAGAAATTATATATTTAATAAATTTAGGGTCTATAAGAATAATTTTACTAGCTAATTAAGCGAATTTAATTCTAATCTAAGGCTAAAAGCTAAAGCCCTAACTAACTCAGAAATTAATAATCTAATTAATTTAATTAAAGCTAGATTAGATAAGTTAGAAAATATAGAAATATCTCTAGATTTAGAAAATTCTAGAACTTTAAAAAACTCTGTAAATATTTTAGAATCTTTAAAAGATTAAAAAAAAGAAAAAAATAAGAAAGATCTAGAGAATTCTATTAGTTAAAATAATATAATTCTAGATAATTTATTTAATTTACTATCTTAGTTATCTATTCTATCTATCTTTAATATTATTATTAATAATAGTTAGTTTAAATTTAATAATTATAATTATATTATAAAGCCGCTAGATTAAAAAGGTAATAATTACTATTATTAGATTTTAGACTATTAAAAACTCTAAGAAATTATATAATTTTTTAGATATTTTCGACTAATTTAAGTTATAAAAAATTATATAAAAATAATCTATTTTCTCTATCTGCTAACTAGTAAAAAATAGTTAATAATCTATTTTAAAATAACTAGATTCGAGCTGTAGAGATAGAATACTAATAGTTTATTAATATAGATATATAAATCTCTATTTTAATCAATTTTATTAGTCTAAACTAATAAATTTTACCGCTAAAGTAGATCTTTACCTATAAATTTAACTATTTAAATTTCCTATCCAAGTTTAAAGTAAGAATTTATATTAAAAGGGATTTTTAACTAATTAGTAATCTTAATACTAAGGCTATAATCTTAGAGTTTAGAATTTTATAGATTATTCTTACTCTAGTAGCTGTTTTTAATTTAAAAATAGTTTAATTAGATATAGTAAATACTTTTCTAAATAGTATATTTAATAAAATAATTTATATTTTATCGCCGCTAGGGCTAGGCCTTAAAAATAAAAATTTTAAATTAAAAAAAGCTTTATATAGACTATAAAGGGCTCTATTTTTATAATAATAAAAAATAGGCGGAGCTCTAAAACAGCTAAATTTAGACTTTATTCTAAAGAATCTCTATATTTATATTAATAAATTTATAATTTTAGTTATCTATATAAATAATAATATTATTATTTTTAGAAAAAAAATAGAGAAAGAATTAAAAAAGTAAAATAAGCTTTTTATTTAATCTATTAAATTAAGAATCTAAGTAAAATAATATAATTTCTAAATATAAAAATTTATTAAAAAAAGTTAAAAAAAAGCTTTAGATCTTGTAAAAAGACTATATTAAAAAAATCGCTTACTATTTTTATCTAACTAATTAAAAGTTACTAAAAATACTGTTTTAGTAGAAAATTTAGATATTTTAGCTAATAAAATAATACTAAATCTAAAAAAGATAAATCTATATTAATAGAAAGCAGAGTTAGCTTTATATATAGTAATTATTTCTAAGTCTAATATTGCCTACGTATGTTAGAAATTATTAGAATTTCTAATTAAGCTGATTTTTAGATATATAAAAGTAGCTAATTATTTAATTTTTTATCTCTATAAAATATGTTATTAGTTAATTATTTATTAAGAACCTATACTATTTTCTAAATTAAATCTATTTAGGTCTGCTAGTAATATTATCTTTATTAATTCTATTAGTAAAAAATCTTTTAAAAAATATATTTTTATTTTATATAGCAGACTAGTTAATTAGTTAACTAGAAGATAGAAGATTATAATATTTTCTATTATTAAAGCTAAATTTCTTATATTATTTACTGCTAGTAAGCAGTTTTTATAGTAAAAACAGTTTTTCTTAGCTATAGAGTTTAACTCTAGTTAAAAGCTTATAATTAAATATAATAATAGGCAAATAGTTACCTTATTTATTAAATAAAATTCTGCTTATAAATTAAAACTAAAATATATAGATATTTACTATTATTAGCTGTACTAAGAAATTTAAAATAGCTTTATTTAGATTTAATAGATTTTAACTAATTAGATAATTACTAACAGTCAAACTAAATATTTAACCTATTAGAAATATTAGAAATTTATAAAATATCTAAATATAAAGAATATTTTTAAATTATTATTTTAATTTTACTTTTTTATAGGATTTCTATTTAAAAATAAGATTTTAGTTAAACTGTCTGGAAAGTCTGTAGATTTTATTATTTTTAATATTAGAATTTAGAGGGGTGTGTTAGATAGTAGAAATGTTTACTTTAAGCAGATATTTAGTTAGTAGAATTAAGTATCTATTTTAGGTAGCTATTATTGTCTAGGTAACTACTAGATTAATTCTATTAATTTCTATTATTTTAATTTGCATTATTCTAATTTATTTTTTTTTAATTTTATTATATTATCTGCTTGCGTTATCTTCTAGTATTTCTATATTATTTCTAATTTTAATTATTAATTGCCTGCTTTTAGAAGACTTTAGGCCTTTAGGACTATACTATAAATAGGGCCTACTAACCTATGGCTCCGGGCTAGAGTTACCCAGAGTTATATACTAGATTTAATTAGTCATCTAGTTTAATTGTTAATTTCCTCAACTCTCATTGGTTCATATTATCTAGTCAGGTCAATAGGGACTTCCTAATTAGGAAACCCTAGAGGGCCTAAGGCATTCAAGGTGCCTAAGGCTCCTAGAGTTCGATAATAAGTAATATACCTAGTATAGTATATATAAAATTTAGAATAATATTTAATAAATTTATAAGACTAGTTAATTTTAAGAGATATAGATATACTTTATAAATAATTATTAAATAATCTTTAAACTATTCTACGTAGAAATTTCGGCTAAATTAGAAACTTTTATTTATCTATATTAAGTAATTATTTTAGAAGTAATTATTTTTTAATTTTAATTAGTTTATAATTATTAGCGCGTATTTCCGATTATAATTTAATTTTATTTAGCTGTTGCAGTAAAGTTATCTTTAAAACTCTAAATAGGTTTACTATATATATTTTTAATTAAAAATTTATTTAATTTAGCAGCCGATATTATTATCTAAATTTAATTCTTTTTAGAAATATATATTTCTGATAATAGTAGTAGAAAAAGACGCGTTAAAGTTAAAGTTCTGAATTAGATAGGGGGTGCAGAAGAAAATGGATTGCTTATAGGTTTAGACCGCTCAATGGTTGAAAACGTTATAAATAAAGTGTCTAGAAACCTAGACTATTGTTATGACAAACAGCTTTTATTAGATTCCTTTGTCCTTTTTATTCTAACTATTTCATCGATCAATGGAGTATTTTGGAGAGCCCTTTGCGCAGCTTCGTTCCCAGCCACAGCTTTGCTAGGTCCTTGACCAGAACCAAGATGCTTATTGCTCCAACCCCATCCAGTAAGATACACACCAATGAAGAATGTTTGCTTCCCCTTCTCTGGCTGGATAGGCTCACGCTCATCAATATATTTCAACTTGATGTCTTTGCCCATGATCTTTCTAGCAAGATTCTCCTTTGCATTCATGACCGGCTGTTGAACCGCAAGACCTGAAAGCTTAGGCAGCCATAACTGTGTCAACCATTTCTCAGCCTTCTGATAGCCAGTGATGGGATCAGATAATATAGCGGCAGCCACGTAAGCCTCAAAGATATCGCCCTTGGTCTTCATCCACCGCTTGGGCTGGGTCAAATACTCCTGTGGCACAGATGCTTTGCGATCAAACTCATACATCGATGCATATTCAGCTAGGGTCTCGTTTTTCACTAAGAGCTCCCTGATTTGCGAAATGTGACCCGAGTTGATATCGCGATATTTATTCCAGATAAACTTCGTCGCCATAAGTTCAATGTATGCGTCTCCGAGAATTTCAAGCCGGTCGTATGTTGCGTCAAGATCATTTGTGATAGCAGGATGTGTAAAAACTGCCTTCTCCAGCGCGGTGTCGAGTATGGGAGGTAACGAAGGCGGGTAGATGTTGTCATCGACCTTCAAACAGGGGGTTTTCTCAGTCTCTGTTTGCACGGAAAAAGATGATGTGACAGCTGGTATGGATCCATGACTTTCATTTCCCGGCTGAGCTCTGCCCGACCTGCGCGCTTTTGGCTTTGTCCTTCGGAGACTGTCTTCCGAAGGCCCCGAGAAAACCGACTTTCTCTTTTGACTCATCGGGCTTCGGTGATGAGGAGAGAAAGGCGTCTAGAATCTTAGGCGTTCGGTGCAGCACGTACTCCGTATTCTATGGAGCAGAAGCATGCGTATCATGTGACCTCCACAAACGTGGGGCGATTAGTCACGTGGCAATTCAGGAAGGGAACTCCGAAGGCCTCCAGAGTCTCCGACACTTGCGATGTCCAATGCACGAACAATGGCAGTGCCATACACCCGAATACTGAGCCTAGCGAAGGTAAATAATCGAAACAGTATTGCCTCGAGGATTTGATGATCAACGGAGTCTGACCTTAAACTCTCACAGGCTCAGTGTCGCATCTTTTCAGCGACGTTTAACCCGGATCGGTTACGTTTGGGAAACAAGATTCTCCGCCAACGACTGCGTGGACCAGCGCTTGCGTCCTGGTACCCTAAGAAGACTGTCTCTTTTCGCGACTTGCAAGATGCGTATCGTCCACTTGGATTGACAACATTTGATGAGGTGGAGGATGATAGAGAGGAGGCAATTCAGATGTATGGAGCCCGCCTCTCAACCAGTTAGACCCATGACTGATCGTGTGGACAGTGCAAAGCTACGAGGAAAAGGCAGGCCCAAGAAGAAGAGGACTGCGGCAGGTATGTGACATCACCGAAGAAGCTTTTCGCATCGTCCTGACCATGGAAACAGAGTCGAGAACGGCCAAGAAGAAGAAATAAACGACGACACCAGTTCTGGAATAATGGATGTATTTTTAACCTGCAATTACTCGGAATGTATCATATCCAATACCCATATAAGCCTGGGGTCTCGGTGTCCGATTTTCCTAGCCATTAAGTCACACTGCATGTTCTTTTTTTACGGATTCATCGAATGGCAGTGAGTTGGTGGACAGACGCGCGCCTACCACCTTTTTCTTTGACACTTCTACCATCTCATGCTATACAATGCATTTATTGTGTTGCACGTTGAAGCATTATTGGGGTAGATTTCCCGAGTTCCTTGTATACTCCTAGACAAGAGGGAAATGAGAAAATTGACCTCAACTGGTAAGGCTGCACATATTAAGCCCGCTAGTGTATGAGTTTGATATCATTAAAGGATGCTACTTTTCGATGCGAATGCCAAGTGCCTTACTACCTATGTCTAGTTGGGAAACTTGGCATGGTGCCACGCCCGGCAGGTAGTTGGGTACTGTGGCACTACTTCAGTGTACATCAGTGTGTAGGAGAACGTATCCCAAATGAAGCATGAGCTCCCGGCGGAGTAGAAGAGAATTTACCGAGTGATAGTGCTCCTATAGAAGTAGGTAGGTGTACCAAGGTAAATTGGTGCAGAGTTCCTGGTAGCTTACCTATCCTGGATGACCACGTGATTGCAATGCGGCAAGGAACCCAACCTTGAACTCAACCTGTGGATCTTTCAAGCAGCATACTAGCCTGGCAGCCCCGGCTACTCGAACCTACGTCAATATTCATAGGTCAAGCGCTATTATTAAATCCAATAGTTTCAAAAATCTCCCTCAAAGAGGTGCTTTGGCGCTCCTAGCGGTCATCATGAAACCAAGCAAAAATCAGTTGCGGAGAGCCAGAAAAAAGGCCCTGAAAGCTCAGGTATGGCTACTCCAAACGATGAATGAACAGCGAAGACTTACATATTCTTTTCTCTCCAAGGCCAACGATACTCCAAGCACTTCGGCGCAAGAACAGACACCCGAGGGGACTGCCCCTGAGAAAATTACACCATCGACTCAGGTTCAAAATACTGGATCCGATGTACGACTCGCGTCGCCTGATCCAGAAGACCCTTTATGGCAGATGTACAAGGGTGTCCTCGACCGATTCGATGAGACCGAAGAGACGAAAACAGAGTCGAAAGAAGCCGAGAAACCGGAAATCTACTATGACGACGACGATGAAATCCCGGATGAAGAGGAAAGCGAACCAAAGTTGTCGAAGAAAAAGCGCAAGGAACTAAGCAAGCTGTCCGTTGCTGAGCTCAAGGCAATGGTTCGGCGGCCTGAAATAGTTGAATGGACAGATACTTCCGCCCCTGATCCTCGATTACTCGTCCACATCAAAGCCCATCGCAATGTCGTTCCCGTTCCGTCCCATTGGTCGCTCAAACGAGAGTATCTGTCATCTAAAAGAGGTATCGAGAAGCCTCCGTTCGCCTTGCCCAAGTTCATCCAAGAGACGGGTATCGCAGAGATGCGCGACGCTGCTTTAGAGAAACAAGAGCAGGCAAGCTTGAAACAAAAGCAAAGGGAAAGAGTCCAGCCTAAGATGGGAAGGCTGGATATTGACTATCAGAAGCTATATGAGGCTTTTTTCCGGTTTCAAACAAAGCCAGAGCTGACGCGTTACGGAGAGGTGTACTATGAAGGGAAGGAGTACGAGACCAATCTCAAGCACCTACGGCCAGGAGAACTTAGTCCTGAGCTGAAGGAAGCCCTCAGTATGCCACCCGGTGCTCCCCCCCCGTGGTTGATCAACCAACAGCGATACGGGCCGCCTCCATCTTACCCAGCTCTGAAAATCCCCGGATTAAACGCACCGCCCCCTCCCGGTGCCATGTGGGGGTATCACCCCGGTGGTTATGGTAAACCCCCGGTCGATGAGCATAACAGGCCTCTTTATGGAGGTGATATTTTCGGGGTGCTGCAGCCACAGCAGAGTGTCCAACAGGGTGAACCCGTGGAGAAGGATCTGTGGGGAGAACTGCAGGCGCCCGAGCTATCTGAGGAGAGCGAAGAAGAGGAGGAAGAGGAAGAAGAAGTCGATGAGGAGGATATGGAAGGAGTGCAGACACCCAGCGGATTCGAGACACCCAGCGGACTGGCCTCCGCGGTCCCATCGGAGTTTGTTGAAGCCGAAAATGTGGCGGGCGAGTTTGATGTGCGGAAGCACTACGGCGGGACGGAGACTGAAGAATCGACGATGCATAAGAGCGCTTTCCAAGTTATTCCCGAGCGGCAAACCAACGTCCGGGGATTCTTTGGAGGGGACAGGGTCTACGACCTGAATGCGTCCTCCGGAAATTTGCCTGTGCTTGGCGCTGATGAGGAGAATAAGAAGCGGAAGAAACCCGGTGACATTGATGTGTCTATGGACCCGGACGCTCTACAGGCCAACGAAGGCATCAGCAAGGAGAGTATACGCAACCTCTATGAGACTCACAGACAGCGTGAAACAAACCCGAACTGGGGTTTCCAGGAGGATCTGAGCGATATGATCGCGCAAGAGAGCCGAAAGCGGCTGAAGAATGAAGAAAAAAGAGGCAAGCATTGAATTTTGTGTACAATTACGGCGTGATCGGGGGTACAACCACTATCATTGTTATGGCTGCTGTTGTTTTAAAGGCTTTTTAATTAGGTAGTATACAGGTGGCTACATGGCAAATCGTCTCGAACATGATGTCCTCAGATGCTTGACTTGTACGGAGTACTCCGTAATATAATAGTACCTATTTAGCACGGGATCTGCGCCATTGATAAGGCATGCATGGCCTGTACATCACATTAAATGTGGAAGGGACAAATCATGTGATATGGAAGGGCCTTTCTCCAACTTGATAGCTTTCGCCACAACGAAGTACCTCTCAACTTTTTGCATACCTACCACACCAGAATCGAGAAAATGACTATCGGAATCAAGTGTGAAGCAGTCTGAGATCTGTTCGCTTTTCACCCGTTCTACTCACTTCGCCTTTCTGGAATCAGTCGACCCGACCCGGCCCCCAGGGATGGATTGGGATCGCAATAGAAGGTACGACACCCACCACCGCTGATATGGTTCAGGCGCCTGTGTCTTTACTACAGTTATGTGAACGAGGCTAACGCGCATTTGTTTGCTGACGCAGGTTTGATGACCACCGCGGTGGCGAGAGTTATCGCCCTGGAGCCTCGAGAGGTTTTATGCGACGCAGCCGATCGCCTCGAAATCGTTCTCCGCGCTTGGTTGCTGATACATGGGTACCGTCCTCTAACCGCACATATGGTCGCATGAGAAGTCGTTCACCACCTGCTTTTCGTCGTCGCTCCCGGAGCCCACCTTACTACAATCGCGACTCTGGAAACGGCTCGTACTCTAAGGCACATTCACCTCCGCGGAGGTTCTCTCCCAGACGTGAAGGGAGACCGAGGTCTCCCCCACATTCATCATGGCGATCGAGATCTCCATATGGCGAGAACCGCTCGCGTGATTTCTCAAGGGGTCGGGTGACGCCAAACCGGCCGCGAGATCTGTCACCTCCTGCCCAGGATTTCAGATCCAGCCGGCGCCCTCCGCTTTCCCCAAGCGATATGTATAGGCGGTCAAGCTCTCATTCAAGACGTGGATATCTGCGAGACGACCCTCCACGTGGTCCAGTCGCACGTCGATCCCGAAGCCCTTTCCAGGCAGGACGGACGGACCGGTATGGCGGGAGTTATCCTGGCCAGCGACGGCGGACGCCATCTCCGCGGGGCGCCCCATCCACGTACAACTCAGCGCCCGGCTCTATGCCTAACTCAAGGCGAACATCGCCTTTTACCGACAGAGTCAGTTCGTTTCCGATCGATGCTAGGGCGCGGTCGCCAAATCCGTCCGAACACCGTCGCATGTCTAGAAACTCGGAGAACTCCCAGTCTTATCCAGAGCGCACGCCTCCAGTCAGGACAAGGTTGAGTAGGGACGAAGCGATGCCAAGGTCCCCTGCCCCAGACCAACCTACAGTGCGTGCGGGAAGGGCACCAGATCACGATACTTATGGACCCAGCCGAGGCACCGGAGATCAGTGGAGGGACTCGAATCGATTCAGTGCTACTTCCCCCGCCAATATCCCGAGTCATCCAAAGGCAAGCAACGCGTTTCAGAGCCAATCGCCACCATCCGGCCCATCTCATGGTCCCAAAGCCTTGCATGGCCGCGGATCTAATCTTTCGCTTCTATCAGCCCCCACGCGTCCTCGCGGAGGCCCCAATTTCAAAGAAAATGCATGGGGAGGAACCCCAGCCCGGCGTGGGTCTAGCCTAAGTTCGCACACGCCGCCGACAGGACCACGCGTGAGCCATCCGCCGAGTGGACCAGCGGAGATGCATCGGCATAATGTTTATCGGCAGGGCAGTAATGCGGGGACACCGCATCCTCGCACCCCCAAGTATACGAACCACCTCGCAGGCCTTCCATCTATTGTCCCGGGCGGTCGACTTCTGCAATCTAATTTCGAGTTCACCCTGGAGAAGCGCCTTGCGCAATTAGACGCTGATCGGGATCGGCTCTTGGATCAGGTATCGGAATGCCAGCGACAGAAGCGCGCGGGAATCAGAGATTGGGAGAAATTGGACCGGGAGAGCTCGATTTGCGCCCTGAAAAGTGAGCTGGCCGAAGGCCACTTGCAACGCATAGCGGATGGGGAGAGTGTGCAAGCGGCGGCTATATTCTGAGCGTGATTGCGGTTAGACTTAATGATATCACTTGTAAAAATAACACGGACATGAAGAACGGCGTGGCTCCATGACTTTACGAATGGTTCTCTCTCTATTTGCCCTGTATTATTGTTATTATTAGAGCGCAGTGGAATGATGGTGATCATAATGAAGTGAAGGGGGCCGAAGGAGCTACAAAGGGCGAACCTTGCATTACGGCATCACGCGTGGGGTGGGGCCGCACCTCGGAGCTTGTCGCGCATCCTTGAGGCTTCGTGTCAACATAGACCAAACCGAAAATCATGACCATATTTGCCTTGACTTCACCTCGCGAATCCTCTCGACCTCCTATGGCAATTGACCCTTGAAAGGCCCCAGACTCGCCATCGACTACGCCATCCATCCGTCTTGATTTACCTGTAACCCACGGTCAACCTGGTCGCCATCGTGCACCCTCGTCATCATGAATATCTTCAGACTTGCGGGTGGGTTTTTCGTTCACTCGGGTTGCGTTGGTCTGATCACCAGTTAATGCTTGACTAGCTGATTTCTCGCATCTCGCGTCTATCTTCATCCTTCTACATAAGATGAAGTCCTCCAGCGTATGTCATCGTCCCGTCCTAGTTATCGACTGAGAGTGTCTGACCTGCGTGCGCCCTTTAGAGCTGCTCTGGATTGTCATTCAAGTCGCAAGTGTTATATTTTATGGTGTTTGTGACACGCTATTTGGGTAGGCCTCCATGCTTACCGTGCGTCCCTTCTCTCTTGCGTCCTCTAACGTGCGACTCTAGATCTCTTCTGGGCGTTCACCGACTCCCTGTACAATACCACCTTCAAGATCCTGTTCATCGGCTCCTCTGCGTATATCATCTACCTCATGCTGAACGACTATAAGCCGACGCACGACCCCAACATCGATACATTCAAAGTGCAGTACCTTCTCGGGTTCAGCGCTCTCCTTGCTCTGATCTTCCCCCCCGATTACAGCTTCTCCGAGGTGAGAACCACCGCCCGTTGTGGCTCGCGAACGGTAGCTGACGTGCCTCAGATCCTGTGGACATTTTCGATCTGGCTCGAGTCTGTCGCTATCCTCCCCCAGCTCTTCATGCTGCAGCGCACTGGCGAAGCCGATACCATCACAACTCACTACCTCTTTGCGCTGGGCTTGTACCGCGCCCTTTACATCCCGAACTGGATCTATCGCTACTTTGCCGAGAGCTATTTCAAGCCCATTCCGGTCATCGCGGGCATCGTGCAGACGCTCTTGTACTCGGACTTTTTCTATATCTACTACACGAAGTGAGTTCCCTACTGTCTGTTACTACCGCGGGTACTAATAAGGTGCAGGGTGATGAAGGGGAAGAAGTTTTCCCTTCCCGTTTGAACAGTGACATGTGCGCGAGTCGGGGGGAGCTGTCACTGGAGATGGAAAAAGACTTAATGTATGTTGGGTTTATGTTATGTTTTATGTATTTTTAGCAGAGTTGATCTGAATGTTTTATTAGGTGGGGACTGGATCCCAGTACCTTGGACGGTATTCAAACCCCCAAACAGTAGGCCCTTCGGTGTGACCGTCAAGGTACGAGGGTTGCGAATGTCCCTGCCACAGGTATACTATGGAGTTATGGTTACGCGTACAGTGGAAGGAGTTGTTTAAAGGATCATCGAAAAGAGTACTCATGCAAACAAAGTTGTTTTTAAATCCAGCCCAAACTCCCCTGCTCTGTGTCGTCAAGACATTAGTCAAACATTGGCCCTCCAGGCCCTCCAAATTGCGCAGTTCCTCGATGACCGTTTTGGTATCTTCATCATATCCACTTCCATGTGTGTACCCGTATTAGACAGTGATAACGCAGGAACGACTTGTCTGATGTACCTTCATCCTCCATCAGATTATGCTGACAAGCACAGCTCAGAAACCCCGGTGACCGGATGTCCCATGAGTGGGTTCGTATTCCGCGCCGTAACCCACATGCGAGGTGGCCAAGGACATATCACCGGCGAAACTGTCCATGGTCGCTGCCATGGACTCCGACAGGTGCGTCATGGACCCAGCACCCAGGGACCGGATGGAGGCCATGTTGAGGGCTGTTGGACGCTCATGGATGTTGCGTTGGCTGTCCATCCAGCTGCCGTGGCCACTGAACTGGCCGAAGTAGTCTGCCTGGGATCGCTCTAGCGCCATCTGGCCGTTCAGTGTCGAGTCACGCCTGGACATGGGTGGTGATGGAAGCTTGGGGGATCGAGGCACCATGTCCAGACGGGGGGAACTTCTCCTTGAATTCGGGGGCGTGAGACGCGGTCCACCACGGCGGACCTGACATGTAGGGCATATCTTGACGAATCGCGAGATGAGTTCTTTGGGAACCCTTGGAACGGTCAATATGTTTGCCGGACCTATTTGATATTGGACTGGGATCCGACATACCATGAATAAATCTGACGGACCTGGGCCGATGTCTTGTCCCTTCCACCATGTTGGCATTGTTGGTGCGCCCTGGTAAGTATCTTGAATAGCTTTTCCCTGACAGCCACGGGCTTGCCCTCGTGACAGATCATCTTGGTGCACTTTCCAGTGGTTCAAGTCAGTATCTGATGTTCCATCATGACTGCAGATAGGAAATACGGACTTCTGAATTGCCGGTACCGACCGTTTGAAGCTTGAACATCTTCTTCACCCAGAAGCTAGTCTATTTAGCCCAACGACCAACAACTAAGAGAGATGACGCGATCGTACCGGAACTGGGCAGATTCAACAGCCGTATCCTTAGGATCGAGCAGAACCGTTCTTATATTCCGCGCGCGTTTAGCATGAATGAGAGCCTTGTCTTGTTTCTTGATGGAGAGGTCCTCGACGTAGCTAGAGGAAGTACTGGGTGAGCACAACCGATCCCAGCAGCGGCGACATATACATAACAAATAGCCAGTCACCTTTTCATCAGCTGGTCGAATTCCCTCACGTTCGGAAATCCGTCCAACGGCGGGACCACCGGCTCTGATAGCATCGTGTTCTCGTTTCTGGAGTCCTGGCTTTCAATTTCGGTGCTTCCCAGTGCGTCTCGCAGGGGCAGATACCGCGGCGATTGAAGGTACCGCGGCGGGGATGCGTATTGCACGGACTGGTGCAGACCTGCATGGTCGGGCGTAGATGGAACCGAGTGTGCTGGTGAGTGGTGAGGAGCGAGATGATGCGTATGAGGGGAGACTGCCGCATGGCCGTAAGAAGGGGTAAATTGGGACGTGTATGAGCTGAAAGCCTGGGTAGAAAAGTGATAGGGGCCTGATTCATTCATCGCAAAGTCATGGCTATCGCCGTTGCTGTAGGGTACAGGCAAGGCAAGTTGTTGACTCATGATATATGTGTCATTGCTCTCGTGGCTGCGCCTGTCAAAGCCGCTCATTTTGTAAATAGCCGGGGCCAATGCTTAGTGCATGGACGAAGCAGGTTGTATCTGGATCACGGGGTTTGGCGATTCTTGAGAGCTGGGAAATAGCCAGGGAACGAATGTGTCAACTGCAGTCCTGGTATATGAGCAAAGAGGCAACGTCTAGGTCTGAATCGAAAAGAAAGTGATAACGGAATGTCCTTTGCAAAGTCCGACTGGTGGAACCTGTGGAGAAGAGTTCAGAACTTCCCTGGTGGCAAGGACCTATTTAAAAAGAACAGGATATCAGGAAAGCACCGCGGAGAAGGGGTTCAAGTCAAGTGTAATGATGACTGGCGTAGGGAGCTCTGGATCAAGACCCTGTGAGTAGCCTCAAGGGGGACTAGCATAGGAAATGTTGTGATATGCTGAGCACCATAGCACCCTACCCATGAAGGCTGCAAGGTAACCTCAGTGAGGTCTGTGAGGAGAGGAACCCTGGACCGGCAGCGAAAGTGGTTATTTTTCTCTCAGTGACATGACACGCAAAAAGGAATATGGGGTATAGATGCAGTACCAGCAATTGGAAGGGAGGAGCCTACTGGGGCGAAGATAGGCTCCGAGAAGAATCCATAAGACGCTCCCTGCAGTACCGTGAGGATAATGACAGAGGACATCTGCAGCAGAAGGCAAAGAAAAAGGAAAGAATGAGCGTAACGACCCTCAGGGAGCTTGTGGAACTGACCAGGGTCAACCCAACTATCAAACAAAGCAAAGCTGCCACTGACCAGGGGGGTAAAGGGGGAGATGATGATGTACTGGGGTGTTTGACAAACTGCTGATTGCTTTGCCCTGGTGGAGGAATTTGGCAAGTCAACAATGTCAATGATCTCGCCGATAATGGCTTCGTGGCCTGACGGAAGTGAGAGAACTTTAGATCAGGAAGCTAGATGCTGTTTCTGTGTGATGACTTGGCTATGATGTACACTTATGGACACCAGCCTACAAGCCTCGTGTCAGTGCTGAAGGACTATATTCCGAGCACCCTGCTTCGATGGAGCTCCGCCGTCTCACGCATACGCTGGGTAGCGCCTTATGCCCTGGATCGAAGGACAGGCATGCGATAGACCTTGGGAAGACCAATGAGTGATGGTCAAATAGGAAGAGACCTGATCCCACGTACGAGTCTAGTCATCATGCCGGACGACTGATGACTTCCGACGAGCAGTACCAATCAGTACAATCGCCGAGGAGACGTTTCGTGTAGTTCGGAGAGCCTTGCTTGGACTAATTTCCACCCTAGTCACCGCCTCGTAACTTGGCAGAAGGAAGCCAGAGTGTGGACGAAGGTGTGGCAAGTATCCTGCAAGCAATGCATTAGCGGTGGAGGCCTGGAAGATTTGGGTATGACATGGTAAGGTATGGTATGTGGTCTAGATGGATTGGGGCAGGCCATCATCACTCGTAGTCAGGCAGAAGGGACATCTCGTGGGAAATCTCCCAATTGGATGGATCATGGGCACATCTTGTATTGCGAGGAGAATCGTATTGTGATGAGAGCTGGGATGATGAAAAGAGAGGTGTGCCAGAACTACAAACGCGGTTCCACCCAGCAGCGTGTCATTCATTTCTTCATGGCTACTCTTCATGCTGTCATTGTGGGGGTGTTCGTTTGTGTTTGCCCGCAGGACATGAAGACATGGATGACCGGGATGCGGTGTATGGTCCAGACAGGAAATTTGTGGCATGTCCATGAGTCTTTGGATATCCCCAAGTCACTTCTCCTCTATGGACCTCTGTGCCACCAAAGACCCTCATCCGGGCAAAACACCGGATCAACATTGAATCCACTGTGAAGATGCATTATCACTAGTAACTAGGTATGTCCAGACCTGGCAAGCGTCTTTACCTCCCGCCGGAAGTGGCTGCAACTAACCGGGGCAAGTGCAGCTGGGAGACCCGAAATAGATACCCGTTTCTTGACTCCGCTAGCCTCTGTCTCGTATCGAGAATACTGATGTGGAGGAACCGTTCCCAGTTGCCGCCGCCATGATACGACTAGGTCCCGTATGGGTATATTGCTTATTCGTCCCTAGCTGGGTGGAGACGAAGAGGACGAGTTGGTGGTGGCTTGCGGTTCGAGCAGCTGAGAGCTCTGCACCCCTGCAGGTATGCCTGCTGGACCGACTCGAATGGCTCGTTATGGATACTGACTGTCTCCATTGGTTCGGCCTCGGCCTCTTCGAAGATCCGCATCTGGAGTCTCCCAGATTTCACCCCTGTGTGTGTCCGGAGACCACGTCCAGGCCCGTGACTGGGGTAGAGACCTCAGGAGACAGACCGACGAGAGGATTGACCGGCGGATCATTGTCGTCGGCATTTGAAGTCTTTCGCCATGACTCTCAGACAAAGACTGGGCGACTATTGTTGGCCATGCCTGCATAGATGGCTTATACCGTGCCTTTGGACTAAGTGGGCCTTCCATCACGGACAAACACATCCCCAGTTCGTTCCCACTTAGTATCGTGCGAGCTTGTCTTTTGCTGATGATGGCATAATGCCAGACCTGATCTCAGGCGTGGATTTTTGGAGGTGCTCGCTGCTTCCCTGGACAAGTCCTCCAGAGAGGTGGTCTAGCTCCAGCTCCTCCTGGGTGCCAGGTAAGAGTACAGCGCATCCATACATCCGATCCCTGTCCTGAACCCATGCCGTCTGTCGCGGTCCTGGAGGTTTTGGGCGAATAGCGTGATGGTGGCTGTAATTCCAGGGAAAACCCCACAGGCACTGACAGCGCTTACTGGATTTACAGATGATTGGGCGTATTCCGTTGTCCAACATGATCTACAGGATACCCATCTCCACTTGTAATACTAACAGGAGACGCACTGCTTACATCCAGGATGTGTTGGCAAACGATATGGTGCCGAGTCATTGGCCAAAACACCCAGATCAATCCTCCTCGGAACTTCCTACTATCGATCCGATGCAGTGATACCTGTATGCAAACACACGGACGCACAAATGGCAAAGGAAAAGAAACAAGGCGCGGTCCGGAAAGGTGAAAGGGCACCTCGTACTAGATGGGGACTTGAGATCGAATTAGAATAGATAACAACACCATCGTGCAGGTTCCACAGAAGCACGTCAGAAGTACTACTGGCCTAGAAAAACGTTTCTTGTCAAGCTGTTTGTCATTTCGAAGTGTTGTGGTTCCTTGGCCGAGATTATGGCTGAAGTTGGCTATTGGCGACGAGAGGCTACACAGGATCAATAATAGACCTCGTCCTCGTTTGCGCCTCAGACTGAAAGTGTTCTTCTGTTTTAATAGAAGGGGGCAGCCCATGTAAGGACATAGCAAGAGAGGAAGAGGATGATGGGACCAGGCATTTTCTTGTTCTACCCAGATAGGCTCACTAGAAAATCAACAGAAAAACCAGGCCGAAGTCGTCTACATTCGTAAGTGATATATACCAGGAACATTATAATACATAAATAACATGACAACCTTGCTTCTCCTATCAATCATGCCTTGTCACAACCCAGTATCCCTCCCGGAATCACAAGGGCATGCGTCCACTGGCAGACTGACAGGGAGACGGGGATATTTTTGTGACATTACCATTCATTATAGGACCGGAAATCCATGCCGCTTCCATCATAAGCCTGCAGGCCGTATTGCCAGGTCTCACTCCGTTCCGATTCCGACCCCAGCAGGTGGCCATTCACAGACATGGAAGGGCGTCTTCTCGTAGTCATCTGAGCACCAGGCAGACTCCCCTGATAGAGGAGAGCAGGTTGGCCCGAGGGGTATAATCCAGTACACCCTGAGGCACTCCCCGTACCCGCTCAGTTCCATAGTCATCTCCTTTCCCCATCGCTGACCGACTGTCTCGAGGATCGTGTAGGTAGATCAGCCGGAGCATTCGCTGATCAACGATCTCCAGTTCCACTTCCACTGTTGAATCTCACCAGGTCTCGAATCGCCCATCGCCACCCATCCCCTAGTCTCTCTCGGTCGACCCTGGTCCATTTGTCGACCTTGCGCCTCCACTTCTCTTCCTCTGCTCGCTGTCGTCGAACAAATTCGGGGGCCAACGTCGAACTCTTCCGTGATGGGCCACTCGTCCGATGAGTCTCCACAGCTGCGGTCGTCACCGCTGGGATTGAAGCCAACTTCGTCGCCAGCAGAGTGATTGACGCGACTGGCCTCCCTGGCACTCTCCTCCAAATCATCAAGTCCAGCGAATACATCATCTTCGTCCTGAACAGCGACCACGCCGTCTGCCCCTGGTTGTGATGGCGCCAATTTGAGCCAACACATACGCCGTGGATCAAAAACCATTTCTCCCACTACCTGCACATTGTGCATCGTTCCAACCTTCGTGATGAGGGCTGGTGCTGGTTTTGGGGATCTCGGAGAGCCCTGATCAAATGCTCGAACGGAATTTTCATTGCCTTCCCAGCGGTACGCAGCAGGATTGTAGTGCATCCCATTCAGTGCTACAGTTGTTAGTATATTACAGTGTGCGTGGGCGAGGATCAGACTTACATCTGGGCTCCTGAACACCTGTTCCCAAAGGCTTGATCAAATGCGGCTTATTCCCAGATCCCGAACGGGGTCTGCTCTTCTTGGTTTTGATGGATAAAGAGCTGGATGGTACACGGGAGATAGTCTGAGATCGCCATTTGGAGTTGAGAGAGGTGAGCGTATTATCATCCCGGTTCTTGGAGCTAAGTTCAACGAAGCGATGCGTTGCTCTCTTGCGATCCTCGATGCGTTCGTATCACGTGCAAACCTCGGAATGGAGTCACTGGACTTGGAGGAAACGTGTTGCAATGTCGGAGGAGTGGGCTCGTTTCTCGATGGAATGGTTTGGCTCCGAGTGAGTTTGTTTCGGAGAGTCTTGGGTGCGCCACGACCAGAGGGGTTCTTGATGAACCTGCTTTCTGCAGACGAGGAAGTGGGAAGATCATCGAATGATGCCAATTCGCTACCATCGCCAAAATTCCGCCGACGCGTCGGTCGAGTGAGCGTTCGCTTTCCTCCAGCAACGAAATTCTCTGGACTTGTGTCACTAGGATTCCCGTCAAAAATGTCCGAACGACTCGACCGTGACGAACGAGGCGCAAGCCCCTGAGAGCTGAACGTATCATTTATAGTGTCCGAATTCGTTCGTCGGGAGTGGCGGTAGCTCTTGACCCGAGCATGATGAGACTGATTCTCAGAAGCCCCTGCTGGGATAAATGGTGGCTGCGCCCTGCGAATGATTTGTCGAGTGTCAATCCCGAGGCGATCGATAGGAGTTTTGGGTCTGACAGTAGAAACAGAAGGACGGCTTGTGCTACTCTGCGGAGACCCCTGTAAAGATGGAGACATCGAGAGTTGCGATGTATTTCGCATCGTAGGCATGGATCGTTTCGATCTCAGCGGTAACCTCCCACCACCTACCCCTTCATTATATGCGGATTCCTTCGACAGACGAGAACCGGTGACTCGTTTCGCGCTTGGGGGACTTGGGGAGAACGACGTAGATCCAACAGCTGGCAGACTCGAGACAGACGGGTTCGAAGAGTGAGTGTTCACGCGCGACATGGAATCGCGAAACCGGAATAGAGGAGCGCCGCTTTCCGAAACCGTTTCCAGATGTGTCGACAGCCGGTCATGGCCTGAAGGTCGGGGAATTCGTGTTTTTGGAGAAACCGTTGCATTAGTAAACGTAAGGGTAGTCGCTGACCGCCGTGTCGGGCTCCCAGGGCGCTCGGTCTTGCGCTTCACATTCGGATTTATCGATAGTCTTCTAGCATCAAAGGCATCGCCGTCGTCGATTTCGAGGCCGGAGAAGAAATCATCGGTATCTTGTGGCTGTTGACGGACGTCTACCTCTTTCGAGGCACCAAACTGGCTGGGCTCCTTTCGCTTCCTCAGGGGTGACTCGAGATCTAGAGGACCTTCCGGTATCACGAGGCCGTCTAAGCCCTCATCTTCACTTTCTCCAGTCAAACAACTCGAAGCGCTAGGGCTGACAGCAGTGACTGAGGAGCTGGGGTTCGATCGACGGTCTCTCGTAGTGCCCCCAAACCGGACTCCGATGCTACCTTCCGACCAATCCACATCCAATTCCTCGGGCGGAGGGCTCGAATTTCGGGCATTCGATTTGCGAGGCGAAAGGCGCAGAACGTCGTCGTTATCCGGGAACTCAAAATCATCCTCGAAGTTGTCCTCCGCACTGTTCTCAGTTCCGGGCTTCGGACCGTCCGCAATGCTTGTTCTTTGTGGAGACCGGGACTTGGGGACCTTGATCGTCGGCACATCTTCGAAATCTGTAGCAACGTCTGCGTCTTGGAGCTTGTCCAACTCTGTCAATGCTGATTGCAGGTGTATATGGGTATCGTCGCTCCAGAAAGTTGTGGCTGTGGTCTTCACTGGGCTTGTCGCGGTCGAACTGACTTGTCGAAGTGATTCCGGGAAGCATGACGCTTGGGGCGTTTTGAGCTCCAGCACGCTGTCTGGCCCGGGAAGTTCTACTTCTTCAGACCAATCATCAATAAAGTCCTTCTTCGGTTTCCTTCGCCCAAGACGTTTTATGGTCCCACCGACAAGCGCCGACTTGGGAACATTCGCGGGCAATGGAATTCCTGCATTTCGAGCAGAGGAAATGGCTTCCTCGCTGACAATATCCTCGGTGTCTAACAGTTGGACCTGCCAGTCTTCGTCCGTGCCGACGTTGGAATCGAGGTCAGAGCGTGCGGAGCGGCGGGACGAGATAGAGTCTCGGTGACCAGAGCGGCGGACGGACGAGTTGGTTACTGATGTAGCGGTTGAAGCGGCGCGTAGTTGGATGTCTCCGTAGCACTGTAGGTCGTCATCGTCGTCCCAACATTCGATTGTCTCTTCATCACCCTGTCGCATCCGAAGGGTTAACGGCTCCATTTTAATGGAACAGCGGGAGAGATCAGGAGATTCCGTGGGAGCTGGTAGGAAGGTCCAGGGCCCTAAGCGATAGTCTGGAGGCTCTCCGGCGCTGATGCTGGGTTGGAAATGGAAAGGAATGTCATGCCGGGGCGAATGTGGTGTTGTCTTGGACGCGAAAATGCGGGAGATACGTTCTCTCCTATCAGGGAATGGGGGGGTTGATTGGGAGACTCAGACGGTGGGTTGGAGTCCTGGTCGTGATGTTTCTCCGCAAAGGTTGTTGGAACCGGGCAACATAAGTGTGAAGAGCCTCCGGGGGCGGAGAAATAACAAAAGGAGGCACACGAGGGCGTGTAGTGTTTCGCGTGTGGTAGGCGGGTGGTGGCTGGAAGTCGAAGATTCTCCGGGGAGGAGAGCAAGAACGTCAAATAAAGATCAGCCAGGAGGCGCAATCCGCGAGCATGTCTAAAATTGCCCACCCTCCATCAATCATTCAGGACGGTTCAACGAGGGAGAGAGTGGTGGGAGAGCGTCGAGAAGAGATGAGGGATGGTGAGAAAATCGGAGGGGAAACGACACCACCGAAGATTTAGAGATTACCTATTCTGGTGAACTATTGCTTACTAGCAGCCTCATGCAAAAGTACACCAAGACAAGATCCACCACCACGACTCCGACAGTTTATCTACAGGTACTATAGGAGGTTGAGAGGTGTCATGCCGATGGTATTCCGCCGTTTCTCTCGCTTTCATTGGAGAAGTCTCGCAGAATTCTCCATCGGAGCTGATCGGTCCCTCGTTTCTCACCGTGTTTGGCGGATTTGATGCCATGGTTACCCTGTCCACCGTCTTGACGACCCACCAGCTGCAGCAATATGGATCAACATCGCATGGTGCTAGATCCGATGTGAAGAATCGATCCAATTCCGTCGACAGTGTCGATTCGGACTTATCATATGATGGTATCCAAATACTGTCGGTGATTGCCATCTATCTGTACCTGTTTATTGTAACGGGCCTGTTGCCACGACCACGCCGCGCCCTGATGACACACGAGGTATACCATCCGCGAAGATGATCGCCATACCATACGTACTCCCTTAGGTAGACTCCGTAAACTCCTTCCGAGGTACGTACACCGAATTGTGGTTGGACGCACTTGGTGCCTTGGTTACGTACCTGCTTTATCTGACCAGACTAATTTGATGCCTGATTAGTGGGGCATCAATTAGCTGTGACGTTGATGCTTGGAGAACCAGTGAATCAGTGAATTACCCCAATAGCAATCATACCGGGGGATAATCTGTCCATAATACCTATTTAATATTCCCAATATCTTTCCAGAGCAACCCAACTCACTTGAAAAGATTTCCGTATTCTAATAATGCGCCAACCTTCGGACCGACTGTCCCGTTCTTCCTAGGTAACCATGGCCTAGCACCTGGTAGATGCCTGGACTGACATGCTTCCTACGCAGGCTATATCAGCTCCCCAGTCACCTCTCTCCTGGCCTATCGCCCACACAGAGTCTACAATCGATCGCCATGCCGCCATTTGATCCAGTTCCATTCCCTCGCATTCTCCGCATCCCGAGATCGGACGACCCCGCGTCGTTTGCGCTTCTCCACGTCAACCGGACTGGAGACGACTATACCATTGCGGCCACCGAAGGCGAAACCCCGTATACTGGAACCGGTAGCTGCGACTCTCTTTACCAAGCATTGCGCTTTTATATATATATAGTGTACTGAGAATTGTGACAGTGCGACAGAGTCAGCTCAAGAAACTCCGCGCAAAAAACTACCAAGACAGCGATGAAGAATGGCAGCGAGTGATTTCATACGTCTTTGGTGACAAGTCGCATATCGCTGGGAATGATACGCGGGCCGGAATCGAATCATCTGCGAGCATTGTGGGCGAAGGCGACGAGGACAAGGAGTTGATCATCACGATCCGGAAAAGGATCCAGGGTATAACTGTCTGTGCTCACTCCCCATAAGAACTGCTGGTTTTCCATACTAACCAAACGCAGCAACGTCTCGGGTCCGTGTCGTTAAAACAGGATGATGAACAGGCCATCGAGCTTTTCGACTGGACTGGAACGGCAGTCGCAAGGGCAGACGTGATCGAGGACCAACTCTCCTCGCTTCGTGATCGCTACAGCGCCGCGGAAGACACCATTAAGCGGCTCAACAAACAACTGGAGGACTTTATCTCCGCCAAGCATCAGCACGAAGAACAACTCATGACCGACTTCGTTCAATTGTTGAACGAGAAAAAGTTGAAGATTCGCAACCAACAACGTCTGCTGGCTTCTGCAAATGTAGATCCAGAAAAGCGTAAGAGACATCGCTAGTCTGGTCTATCTCCGCGGAACTAACCGATACATCGTCTAGTATCCGATCTCCAAGCAGCTACCTTTGGCAGACGCCGCACACCGGCCTCGAAAAGCCGAAACTCCAAGCGCTCGGCTCGCCAAATGGACGACAAGGAGTCTGAGAGCGAGGATGGGTTCGAGGAAATGGAAGTCGATCAACCTCAGAATCGCAGAGACGCGCAAGAACCGGATGAGACCGATGATGAGCAGCGGTCCACTCCCCAGCCTCTAGAAGACAACGAAGAGACAGCAACCGACGACGAGTCCTCGGCATCAGCCGGTGGGCAGGACCACGAGAATGCAGATGCGGAATCCAGCGGTAAGCGGTTGTCCGCGCGTCCAGCGATGAAGAAGTCAACCGAGCCTCCTCCGCGGAGAGAGCTTCCATTTGCCAGGAGGCCACAGGCCAAGTCTGATAGTCCCGCGAAGCAGCCATCCCAACAGGATGAAGCCGGAGAAGACACCGCAGGAGAGACCGATGACGATGAACTTTGAATACCCTGTGGTTTGATACGCTTATGACATATCTAATATGAAACACTCTCTGATCTACTATAACAAGAAAAAAACCAAGGTCTCCGTAAACAGACAGGAGCTTAGGTATGTCCGTACAATGGCTAATAACCTTCGCAGCGTTGGTAGGCAGTCTGCGCGCGACTCGCCCAAGCCCAAAATGAACCCAAATGAATACACTGTATGAATTTCTCTTCTCTCGGTGAATTTTTATCTTGATGTTATGTACAAGTTCACTTCCGACATACCATGTTGCAGCAGAGGTGATTAGAAGGCACGATGAGAAAGACATAGCGACGAGGGAGGGAAACGTAAAAAGAAAATGATAAAACGAACATAGATAGGTGTTACAACTACAACGCCTAGAACAATCCAATAGACCACAATTAAGTCCCGAAGGCCTAGCCATACAGGGCTTGAGGGGACATTTCACCAGCAGCCATGAAGTTCGTTTCCGGGTTTCCAGTAGCCTTGGCCGCTGAGCAGCGAGCCATGGTAGGGGAGCTGTTGTAGTTAGCAAAGGATGATGCGGGGATGGTAGGATGCATTGCGGGCTCCAAATTACGTACCTCCGGGAGATCGAGTCAGTGAAGTAGAAGTCTTCAATGACCTTCTTGAAAGGAGCGCCGGTGGCTTGGCTGCCCTTGTTCTGGTCAACCAACTGGACCTTGCTCAACGAGCTGAGGGAAGTCGGCTCGACAACGTCATAGCGGCGCATCACAGGGCTAATCTCCTCCATGCGGTCACGGAGAGCCTCGATGTCATCGTAAGGAAGAGGGGCACCAAGGAACTCGCTCGTGGCCCGAACAATTTTCCAGTCCTCACGAGCAGCACCAGGCATGGAAGTAGCCGCACGAGTAATTTGCACCCGTCCTTCGGTGTTGATGTAGGTGCCGGATTTCTCGGTGTATGCCGCGCCGGGAAGAACGACATCGGCGAGCTGGGCACCGCGGTCTCCGTGGTGACCCTGGTAGATGACAAACGCATCGCTAGGGATCTCACTCTGGCTGACTTCATCCGCTCCGAGGAGCCACACCATCTTGGCCTTGGTTTGGGCGACCTCCGGGGACGGCGTAGTGAAACCGACCTCAAAGGCAGCGGCCCGGGACGCGGCACGCTGGAGGACGTTGTAGCCTTGCCACTCCGGCGTGTTGAAGTTCGCATGCTTCTCGACAAAGCTGCCAACGGCCTCGAAGATGGCCTTGGCGTCCTGGTGTTCGGCCGCAGCGCTACCAACAACGATCATAGGGCGCTTAGCGGCAGCAAGCTTCTCGCCGAACTTGCCCGACAGAGCAGACTTGAGAGAAGCCACATCAGCTCCGAGATGCTCGAATTCAAAAGTGCTCTCGAATTGCTCTCCGACGAGTCCGATTTCGAGATCGGAGCGGAGATACTGCTTGCGGATGCGGGCGTTGAGGACAGAGGCTTCATGACGAGGATTCGTGGCCACCAGGAGGATGGCATCGGCTTCCTCAATGCCGTAGATCTGAGAGTTGAAGAGATAGTTCGAACGAACGTCGATACCGTGGGCAATCGGCGAGCTTCCTCCAGGCTGATCGAGGGCCAGGTTATCCGAGCCAAGCTTGTTAGCGAGATCCTTCATGGCCACCATGGCTTCAGCGTCAACAAGGTGTCCGGCAATAGCCTTGAACTCGTTCTCCTTCAGCTGGAGCTTCTGCTGGGCTGAGGAAATCTCGGTGAGAGCCTGTTCCCAAGTGGCGGGGACAAACTTGCCGTCCTTGCGGATCAAGGGCGTAGTCAGTCTCTGGGTCTTGAGACCATCACAGGCGAAACGGGACTTGTCGTTGATCCATTCTTCGTTGATGTCGTCATTGAGTCTGGGAATAATGCGCATAACTTCCATGCCTCGGGTGTCGATCCGGACGTTGGAGCCCAAGGCGTCGTGGACATCAATCGATTCCGTGTGCTTCAACTCCCAGGGACGAGCGCGGAAGGCATAGGGTTTCGAAGTAAGGGCACCGACGGGGCAAAGGTCGATGATGTTGCCAGAAAGTTCGGAGTCGAGGTTTCTTTCGAGGTAGGTACCAATCTGCATGTCGTTTCCTCTGCCGGCGGTTCCGAGTTCGGGGGCACCGGCGACGTCGTTCATAAACCGAACACAGCGAGTGCAGTGAATGCATCTGTTCATCGATGTCTTGACCAGGGGTCCAATGTTCTTGTCCTCAACGGCACGCTTGCCGCCCACCTCGTGGAAACGTCCCCGGTCCGCACCATAGCGCATCGACTGATCCTGAAGGTCACACTCGCCTCCCTGGTCACAAATGGGGCAATCGAGGGGGTGGTTCGCGAGAAGGAATTCCATGACACCCTCTCTGGCCTTGTGAACGAGCGGGGAGTTGGTCTTGACGTTCATCCCTGGCTGTACGGGCCAAGCACACGACGCGACGGGCTTGGGAGCACGCTCCACCTCGACGAGACACATACGGCCTGGTTGGGTCAGTAACATGTTATGGTGTTTATTCTGCATGGGACATACAGTTTCCTGCGATAAGGAGCTTCCTGTCGCTTCATTAGTAATCGGGGAAGTAGACACCTTCGAACCAGATATAACGTACTCATGGTAACAGTATCTGTCGCAATTCATCAGTATCTTCCAATATTAAGCGCCTCAGGAGATAACATACCTCGGAATAGTCACGCCAGCCTTCTCGCAAGCCTGGATCAGAGCGGAGCCAGCTGTAACAAGTGTGAGTAAGAAGCGTCGTCACCGATTAGCGTTGTGAGGAGTGATGTTCACCTTCTACCGAGACCTTCTTCCCGTCTTCACACACAAATGTTAGTGTTCGAACAGAACGTAGCAGTCAAAGTCCAATGGGGCGTACCAATTGTGAGTTCCACCTCGGCAGAGCGAGGGGTTGTCGTCGCGAAGGCCCTGGGATAGTTGCCCTTTGGGACCCGGATAGACCGGGCGGCCGCACGAAACAACTGCGGCCGCATAGTGTGAAGATAGACGGATAGGAGGAGGAAAGGAGGGAAAGGAACTATGGCAAGGAGAAGAAGGAAAGGGGAGAATCGAGGGCAATGGCAGCAGAGCTGGAACAGCCGATGTTTCTTGAGGAGATCACTTTTGGCGTTGTTCGGATTCTGCCAGACGAAGTCGGGGCGTCACTCGCAAATTGCCGCCCGCGGATTGGCTCGGTTACCCGGAAGACCAATTAGTCCGAACCACACCTTTTTCTCCCTTTTGTCAGTTTTTGTTTTTCCTTTTCTTCTTCTTTCTCTCCAATAACTCATTCATGGGCGTGTTTTATTGTAGGTGAAGGGGTTGAACGAAAGTCTTCTTTTGTCTCGTCTGTCCCCTTCTCCTCTGCTACACGGTCCTAGAGCAGATATGCACTGAGCTGGAGCTCCTTAGGTCGATTCTCCCAGTTGGGGATCGCCCGATGAGGGTATAGTTCTTTACTGACAGTCGCTACATTCCTTATTGCCATGTACAATCAGCATCGTCTATCCGAACGAATACCGAAGTAGTACGTAGTTGTAACATCACCTCATTCCGGATGCAATAATGATTTCATCTCTCGTCAGTTTCCATCCCATACAGGTACGACGTCAGGATTGAGCCACCAGTCACCAGCTGGGGAAAATTCACAAACGACCGGTCCTACAAGACATCAAAAACATGTACATCCATCTATTATGTCTTCATGATACATATATAGCGAGAAAAGCGGCCTCCGATGTAAGAAACACCACAACACCGGGCGAAATATGATACAACAAAGATCCAAAGCATGCATGAGGATGACTACGGAGCCTGTCAGGAAGGACAATTGGCATCTAAGTGTCACTGGGTTGCCATGTGGTCTCTTGCTTCGTACCAGGGGGCAGCCATGCTCGGGCATTACTACTACCTCGTGGTCGACCTTGGCCTGGCGCGTCATCTTCCTTCTTCAGGTCGGCCTGGGCGAAGGAAACACTGTTCGATGACTGCTGTTCCATCCCCGTTGCCGATGGGAACGCGTACCCGTTTGAATCCCAGGCTTTGCCGCCAGTTCGCGCATTCAGAGGGAGGACAGACTCGGTAGCGCGGAAATGATCGGCGTTGGCCCTGCGGTCCGCTACATCATCATGGCTGTTGCGATCGTAGAGATAGAGTCCAATAAAAGTGAGAGCAATGCCGAAGGCCTGTATCGAGGTGGTTGAACTACCAAACCACACGATCGCCACGACGATGACAAACACGCGCTTGACCAGCGACGCGACAGAGTAGGATACGGGCGATATTCTGGAGAGGAGGACAAATGCCAAGATGTTTTGCGCAAAGTGAGCCGATCCATTGAAGAAGAACTCAAGAAAGAGGGCACCGTGATCTAAGGCGCCCTTCTTGCCGGACAAAGATATCGCCCCGTCCTGAATGAAATCGGACACGAGGGGATATCCTTCGCTGACGAACCAGATTGGCAGCGTTAGGATGAATGCTAATCCGGAGCAATAGCAAAGTAGGTTTAACTTGTCCAATTTTCGCCGCCCCGCACCTGGCATCTCTGTCTCGTTGAACAACTTCTTTGAAAAGATGTTCTGGGAGACGAAAACCAAGGCCGCAACGAGAGCGCACAAGATCCCGAAAAAGTTTGTAGAAAACCCGGTAGAGCATGCAAGCATGACCCCCAACGTCAAAGGAATAAGCGACAGGTACGTTGCGCGAGCGTATCGAATGCCGAACAGAACCCGGTACGCCAACACCGTAAAGAGTGGCGACAGCCCCTTGATCGTGTGGACCAGCGACACGGGGATCTTCGAGGTAGCCATCGAACTAAGAATGTGACCAGCTAGCTGGAAGACAGCTAGAGGTAACGCGGTGACAATGACATCCCGAGAAGGGGAGCGAAGTCCGTTCCTCAGGGCTGGCACATTGTTTCTGAGCCAGGGGAAGGAGGACGAGAGATACGACAGTAGGAGGCACCATGTCGGCACAAAGGCGAACTGTACAATGGTGAGGGTGATCGGTTTGGGGAGTGCGTTCAAGATGGACTTGGACGAGGTGTTCGTAAGGGCAGAGGTGGTGTACCAGATCAGGCAAAGGACCTATCCCATGAATGAGTTAACAGGGGGATGCATAGGTATATCCGGACAGGCAATGCTCTTACAATTATCCGATAAGACACAGGAGCCCGAAGCGCCTCGGCCAATTCCTGCGCATTCGCACTCACACTGGCATTGCGTGTTCTGATGGTGGTAATCGCCTCGCTGATGCTTTTCCGCGGTCTGTGCTTCGAGTTTCGGACAGTCCCATTCTTGAGGTCTCGGGGTAGATAATTGGACCGGCGTGGTTCCCAGCGATCGCTCTGTGTGTATCTGACTGTGGAAGGGTCTGCCGATTCCGCGGTCGTCTCGTGTAGCTCGTCCTTGAACGGTGGAAATTTGTCAATCGGACTCGTCATCGACTGCGAACTGGTGGCCAGTGGGGATGTCTGTAGTTCGGGCTGCCTGATGGAAGATCGCCGTCCAGTGCCTGTCACGACAGTGGTAGTCATTTCCTATCATCTAGCATCTAGTGACGTGTGTGATCGCGTCAGAGCAACGTTCAAGTGGGCAAGCTGCGAGACTCCAGATCAACTTACGCAAGGCGAGCTGCAAGATCGGACAACGGCAATGCGCACTTTGGGCAATTTGCCTAGGCGACTTTGGTGAAGTCTTCCTTGTCCGAGGGGGCAGTGGTGGTGAGGTGTCTGAGTAAATTGAGGGGATGTAAGTGTCGGGATTGCCATCGACCGAAGTATCCTGGAACGTTTGCGGACTTCCGCATTGGATGACGAATCCCCACTGACGAATGACCATTGAGAATGAAGGACACGATGCGGGATGACTGAACCTGCGTATTACCTCCACTTACAGCCTCCACATGCACTTGATAGATAGAAATAAAGGTGGCATAAATCGCACCGTCCTTAGCCCGAGGTTGCATTTGTGAGATACAGCTGACGGGCTTCTTTCATGCAGAATGGTGGTCGTAGGACCACGGCGTGGACTCGGTGGATGTTGTTATTTCCTGACGTGTACCCTTACACTTCCCGCCTACGGAGTAGGAGTAGGCTCCGTAACCCGCAGATCTCAATTCAGGCCCTGCAGTACGTAGTTCTAAGACAAGATAGTAATCATAAAAAGAAGAATATAGATAGACTGCCCGTAATACTTGGTCTTATTACTCGCCCTCCAATCCTGAAGTGACCTATTTTTGGAAGCCTTCCAGAATATGACCGAAAGAACATGAACGAAGAGAGCAAATTTCGCCATAAATGTAGGTACTACTAGTAGGTACGATCGTGGTTACTTAGTCTCAATTCGAGTTTGTTCGAGAACTCTAAGATATTGCTTATTCGCACGCCCAAGGAACATGACCAAAGACGCCGCATCCAAAATCTCTAGGGACTGAAAAGGAGCTTGTGGACAACTGGGAGGTACGACTCTGCGGAAGATAGTCTCATTCTATTCTGCACCAGAAGTGAGAGTGACCAGGTTCATACGGAGTACGGAGTACAGGTATATGATTCAACCAGGTTTCTCCACCTATATCCACTTGATAGCACACCTCAGTAAATATTTGAGGTCTCCAGTGTCTACCCGATATAGTTAGACCACGTACAGGCAGGTCCTGTTGGTGATGAGAGCTAAGTTGCTACAAATTAGCATGTGGAATCTCCTGCGACGAGCGTTCTCTCGCAAGTGCTAGCTGCTCCCGCCGAGCGTGTAACACCTCCTCGAGAGCCTGGATCTCAACCTCAAGGCGCTTTACTTCTTGGAGCGGCTCGACAGCCTGGGGCTGCTTAGGACAATCACGACCAGTTTTCAGGCGGGGTTTTGTCTCTTTTGCAGCACTAGGACTGGAGTTGTTCTGACGGTCTTTGGGCGAAGACTTCCCTTTTTTCTTCTCTTGGTTCGGGTCGATCAAACCCAACGCTGACAAGGTCAATAGACCAACAATTGCACAGAATCCGACCAATAGTAAAAGGGCGATGACAACAATCCCAAAAGCTAGGTAGACTTTGAGTACGTTTGGAAGGAGTTCTGTCACCCATTGACGTGCCATATGCAGGACGTCCCGCCAGTAAGAGAGAACACTGTCAATAAAATTCGACTCCATTCTTGCAGTCGTGGTAAAGGCGCCTAGGTTCTCAAAATGCAAGGCGAAAAGTCTGCCAAAGGTTAGCATTTAACTATTCTTCTGCTGCTGAAGTAGGAGAGATGCAAAATCAACCTTTGGGTGTAGACTTATACTATGTTTCTCGGGTTGTTTGTGAGTGATTGTCAAACAATATATATTTCTGGGGCTTAGAGTAACCTTGTTTGAGTACTCCGTACGGACGGGTTAGCATCTTAAATAGTCCGACGTAATGCCATGTGGAGTCATGATTTGGTTAGGCAGAGCATACTCCCTGCGCATCAGATTTTGTAGCGGTCCTTTCATGCCGAGTAAGCACTAACATCTAAGTAGCAGGTGTTGTGGACCCAATTACATATTCCCAGATTCGCAATTTTATGCTAAGCAACCTAAGGCAATAACAAGACATGGGATCCTCACTGCTTGGCTATACAGGTGAATGTTGTAAGTACGCAATTAGTAGCCCTGGTGGAAGAACCTTGCTGTAGGGCCGATTCAAAGCTTCTACTCTCTGGAATGTTCCATATGGTTTGTACATTGGGATGCTAATGATGATGGAGAACCCGTAAAGTACCTTTGTGAATATATCATCAGTATAAGGATATATATTAGGAGCATTGTTCACTATTCACTAACTCCGAAGCTTTAACCAGATAGATAGCAATACACGTACACAACTATATATGGCACTGGGCATATTAGTATAGGTACTATATACCTTACATATGATCGAAACAGACGCATGCTCCACAAAAGTAACAGACTACGAAGATGTATAGCTAGTATCAGAGGAACCAAGGTGTCTGACCGTGTTAACTATCTGCAAATGCACAATAGCCCTGTCGGTCTCATTTGGAAGATAGTCATATTCTTAGCAAGTCAGATAATATGGTGCTTATAATAGTATGCTAGATTATCAGAGTAAGGAGTTGATCAAGAGATGGAGTGGGTACCTTTAGAATCAACAAGCAGAGGTTGTTTATGGATAAGTAAACAACAATGGGCACATTTACCGTGACATGCTTTGCTGAGTGGGCTCACTTGACTGGAGTATCAGCTAACCAGCCCTTGTGTTTGAAGCACAAACCAAAACAAGTAGATCGTGCCTGCGTGCTCAGTTAGGGCTCCTTCCCAATTTCTACTTTCATCTCTTACCCTTTTTGTTTACTTACCCCCCGCCCCCATCCTCACTTTCACCTCTGTCGCCATTTCCTAATCTTCTTGTTTGATCTATTCTCTATTACTTGGTATCTGTGTATCTTCCCGCGTTTCTGATCTCTTGTCTTCTAAGTACTGCCATCTATCTTCGCGTCGCTTTTCCTTACCAGATTGAAGTCCATCTCTTCACTTGCTGTCATCTTTTTTAACCATCTGCCCTATACTCAACTGGAGTTTGCATTGAACCAACCGTTATTCTTGTGTCGTGTCTGTTCCTCCCTGCGTGACTGCCTCGATTTCCTCGCTGTCGCCTCATTCGAAACCCTCTCGTTGCGTACTTCAATCCGTGACAGGTCTTTGCCAACTCAGACAAGATGTCCATGTTCCCATCCGACTCCTCAAGGTCTGGGCGGAAGCTTCCAGACGGCAGGCTATTATCTAATGGAGGTTCTGGCTTCGTTGTTGGACGTGAACCATCAGTCAGTCCTACAACCCCATTGGAGCCGACGATTGCTAACGAATAGCCTAGGGTCCTAAACATTCGAAGATCACAGGTCCTCCTGATCCTCTTGTGACTTCAAAATTTGGCAACTTCCAGCCCTCCCTTGGTGAAGGGGCTGATATTCTCTCAAACAAGGTCAGGTGCCATTCCAACTACAGTGTCCGTGAAGTGTCTCACAATCCTAGAAGCAGAAGTTGGAGCATTCGAATACCATTTCTTCAGTCTCACAATCTGACATGGACAAACTTCTCGCGAAATTATCCCCCAAGCCCCAGGCACTTGGTGAACCGGCCATCGAGAATGAAGAGATCCCTCGAAAGATATCGGAACAACAGGCCGTGGTTGACCAGAAGAAGTACGCTCTGATCGGCGGTATGGAGGCGGATAGCTCGTCGGTTATCCCACGTCCATCTACGCCCCAGGAAGCTCGCAGTTCTACGGATGAGGCTGGGAGTAAACAAGGTCCCTTCCCAACCGACACACCCGAAGTTATCCGATTGAAACGGGAGCTCCTTGCTGCTAACTCCAAGATCGCTCTCCAAGAGCAGGAGCTTGCTCAAACTCGCGTGATAAAGCACACATTGGACCAAGCCCTTGGGCCCCCGTCCGAGGCAGACTTTGGTGGACGTGAAATAACCGAGCAAACAATCAGTCACCTACAGAGTGCCTTCAATGCATCCAACCCGTCTTTCAACCAGCTTCCGGATGGATGGAGCGGCCAAGATGACTCCCAGTCGGACATCTCTGACGCTTTGTCCGCCGGTGCCTACAATAGAACTCGAGGATTCTGGGTCCCTCCAACACAGCAAGTCTTCGGCATGGGACTAAACGCTCCTCCAGTCGATAAGCCATACGGCGATCCTTTCCCGCTGCCCTCTAATGCCACACTCCAAGAATCGAACCGGTTCTGGAACACTAGGACTCCAAATCCTACCGTATCTGGACAAGGCTTTCAAAGTGCCCGTGTGCTTTCTGGTCCTTCACTGGGGGCCTGCAGTATCGATGCGCAACTCCCCGGAGACCAGCCACGGACTCTGGAAGGACCTCCCCCACTTCAGCGAAGGTTGACAACCCAGGTCAATCGCACCGGGGATTGGTTTTCAACGCAGAGTTCTCCGTGGAGCGCGTTCACTCCTATACCACAAACTCGCAACCCTCCAAGATCGCCGGTGAATCGACAGGATAGCACCTACCAGCAAGTCGGCTTGTATCCAATCCCACCATACCATCAGCAACCAGTGGGAACCCCACTGTCACCGACAGCAAACGAGTTCACCTCGACTCATCTGAACATGGTACCATGGGGTACAGCTTCAGTAAGCAACTGATAAATCAGAATGCTTTCCTTTGGCTGACCAAATTAGACCAGTGGGAGCCACACGCAGACATATGTCTCGCCATTGGAGCCGATAAACTACCGTCGACTTCTTGACAAGAACGTTTCCTGTGACTGGAGATATATAGTGGACAAAATTGTCTGCAACAATGACCAACAGGCTTCAATCTTTCTGCAGCAGAAGCTGAAAGTCGGAACCACCGAGCAAAAGTTCGAGATTATAGAGGCCATAGTACACCAGGCATATCCACTCATGGTCAATCGTTTTGGAAACTTTCTTGTCCAACGTTGCTTCGAGCACGGGACCCCGGAGCAGATTGTTGCGATTGCTAATGCGATCAAAGGCAACACTTTGAGCCTTAGTATGGATCCTTTCGGCTGCCATGTGGTCCAAAAAGCGTTTGACTGCGTCCCGGAGGAGCAAAAGGCTGTGATGGTCCATGAACTGTTACGCAGAATCCCTGAGACCGTCATCCACCGATATGCATGTCACGTCTGGCAGAAGCTTTTTGAACTACGTTGGAGTGGTGAACCGCCCCAGATCATGGCTAAAGTCAACGAAGCACTGAGGGGAATGTGGCACGAAGTTGCGCTGGGTGAAACGGGAAGCTTGGTGGTCCAAAACATCTTTGAGAATTGTGTGGAAGACGAGAAGGTAAATGGCCCTACTTCAGACCACATGCTCATGGCAAAGCCCGGAGCGTGCGTTCGTCAAATCGTGGTCGAATCCCCAAATCCTGTCTAGGAAAGCTTTCTAACAAAGTCGCAGCGTCCAGCTATCGAAGAGGTACTGGCAAAAATTGATGTGCTTGCTCACGGCCAGTTTGGAAATTGGTGTATCCAGCATATTTGCGAGCACGGCGCCCCCCATGACAAAAGCCGCGCCATCAAGCATATCCTTCTTTGGTCGGTGGATTACAGCATGGATCAATTCGCTTCCAAGATAGTCGAGAAATGCTTAAAGATTGGAGGCTCCGAATTCCTCGACCGTTATCTTGCACGAGTCTGTACCGGCCGCAGCGACCGACCCAGAATGCCACTGATTGACAGTAAGCCCTAATCCTCTGGGAGTGCCGAAGTGCGGTATTGCTAACTGAGGACAGTTGCCGGAGATCAGTACGGAAATTATTTGATTCAGTGGATCTTAATGAACGCTGCACCTCATCAACGGGAGTTGGTTGCCAGTCATATTCGGTATCTTCCCCTGCTTACACATACCATTAACTAGTTCGTGCTAAGGCTCGGTCGATAGGAAGCACATGGTCTCTCTTCGTGGATCGAAGTTTGGTTCGCGCGTTGCTATGCTCTGCTGCAACCCGTCCCAGACTACTCGCCCTGGACCAGGCGCTGGAGTTCAGATCGGCCGGTTTGGCAACTTCAACGACGATAGGTTCCCAGCCCAAGGGCAGCATGGCGGACGTTATAGTCGTGGAAGCCAATGGAGTCCTGGCTATGCACCGTTCCGATGAAGGCGATACTGCAACGGTAGATGCCTGCCTTGACACAGTCGAAACAGCCCGATGCCTGAAATATCGAGAAAGCGTCACTCTGCTATACAGTTCTTACGTCTTGAAGCACGACCGCGACCTTCGGAACTGGTGATATCCATTTGTAATATGCGAACAATGTCGGAAAATTGGCTTGACTTTATGCCGTCACGTCGTTTCATTTCCAGCCATGCTTTCTCTCGAGGCTTTGTCACCAGTGAAAAGTTCTTGCTTTTTTGTTCACCTGCTTGATGATCCATAGGCAAGTCGTGTTTTAAGATGCTGAATATCTTACAAGAGTTCGGGGAACTGCAGGTCTGGATTGTGTGTGTGGAAACGTTGGGTTACAAAAGCATATGTACTCGTCGAAAACCCTGTCCATGGTGATCCCATGTACTATTCCAGTCTCTCTTTGATCCTGCTATCATATCCTTTACACAAACAGAAAAACAAAGGAACAAAGCATATCCATCTAGTTCAACGTCATCATCGTCCCGTTCATTAGGTAGTCTCAGACCCTCCACAACCACACTGACAATGCGTTATGCCATAAGAAATAAGTCTTCACGTTGAACAAGTTTCTTCAGTGGTCTCCTTTTCCCACGGTTTGCGCCTCCTCGGTTTGGTACTGGGGGTGTCGTGCCCTTCTAGCACCGTATCCGGTATCTGCTGGATGCCAGGAATTGGTTGGCCTGTGGTGATAAGCTCGACGATGTGGGCGAACGAAGACGGATAGGTAGGCTCTTGGGTAGGTGGCGCGGGCGTTGGAGCGCTAGCTTGGTCCGCGGACGTGTCTGTCGTCAAAGTATGGGGTTCTGTAGGGACGTTCCGGGCGCTCTCGTTTTGCGGCCCAGATTGCAACCAGGTTTTGAACGCGGTGAAATCAATGGCCTTGGGGAGGTTTTCTTTCCTTAGGAACACAATGAGTCAATATCAAAGGTTGAAGGAACAAGCGCCATATGACGCGCCACCGGGTTTCATGGCGCATACCTCGAAAAATAAAAGCACTTGGCTTGTAAAACAAGATCGTCTGTGCGATTGACTTCATCTTCGCTCGCGGGCACGTCTGGATGTTGCAGAATGATCGCAAGGCCCTTGGCGAACTCGCGATCCGCGGTGAACGGATATGCCTTTAACTTCTCGAAGAGGGCGATTTCTGACGGCTGGTCTCCTTGGCTGGACATGCTGGGTGCCTGGTCATTTGATGACGAGGGATTGGATGTGACGTCCATCGTGTCTGTGGAGGGTATTGGAGTTAACAGGCGATGCAATGTTGATATTGTCGGAGGAGACAGATTGTCATGCGGGGAGAGAAGCTGGACGTTTAGCCGAGGCCTAATAATTGGCGGGGTGACGTATGTTGGAGAGGAACTTTCGAGTGCCAATCCATGTACTAATGTATGGGAACGATTTGTTTCCTATAAACTACAAGTACTTTTATTCTCTATCAATAGGTGGTTATTGTCAATTCAGTTCATCACTATGTCTTGTCATTAATAGTTCACGGTTAAGTTCATCAATAGACAAGGGCTGGGGGCAGGCTCCTTGACTGTAGCTATCTCATGTAGAATCGTAAAAAGCTCATCAATCTCTTCTATACAGATGTGTCCATTGCGTCTGGGGCAGACTGGCCTTGAGGAAGCTCGAGAACTGCCGCCCGGCTCTGACAGCCCGGACAATTGTGCACCACCTCATGCGCAAAGAGATCGCAGTCAATGCAGAAATGGTTTTTACATACGGTGCACTCGTAGCGACTGCTTGCGCTCATCCCCCGTGCCTGGCTTTCGGCCGCGTGCCACTGTTCTTTTGGCGGCACGGGAGGGAAGGCGATCCCGCATGCGAAACACGCCGTGCTGCGCGAGGCTCGCTGCCACGGCACCTCGACCCAGTTTATCAGGGGAAACAGATGATGGTACGATCGAGCGAGATGAGTTGAAAGGATAAGAGTCAGTCCGCAAGAGGGGCACTCCGCGGGAAGGCCACAGACCTTGCTGTTGCAGCGGGAGCAGAGATACCCTCCGCACGAAGGTTTGGAATGGCATGCGCAAAGAGACGGGGATGTTTCGACGGTGCGAGAGGGGAAGCCCATCATCAACAAGGAGCTGGTGGACTGTTTCTGGGAGTATGCGGCGGGTGGGGTCGTCACGTCCATCACTAGTTCGCGGAAATGTTGCTCGTTGAGCGCGACGCCATAGGTGGTGTCGTCGCCGCCATTCGTCTTTGCGCAGAGCTCCCGACAGATGGCCACCTGGGCCGCGAGGCCAACGATGCCTACCCGGATCTTATCGTTGATCAACGTGGTTATGGTTTGATGGATGTCGCCGGGATCGGAGGAGAGGAGGGAGCCAAAGATCACGAATATCTCTCGGGTTCCGTGACTGGGAGTGTGGCTATAAAGAGAAAGGGGAGCGTCAACATGGATATTCTCTGTGGTTGAGCGTGAGGACATACAAGAGCGCACCGCGGGCCATTTCCAAGCCATTCTGCAAACTCGGGAGGCCTTTGGGATCCTGGTCTCGCAACGCTTGGATGGCGCTGATGTGCTCGGTAGGATTTCCGCTCATGTCACTGATCCGCACGGCGAGTCCGTCCCGTAACCCGAGCACGCCCAATTGCGAGATGGGGTTCTGTTCGAAGAACTCGCGGACGAACTCTTGTGCATATCGCAAGGTCAGAAGGTACCGCGTCGGGCGCAGATCCTTTTCTGCCATTGACAGAGACAAGTCGAGGATCAGAATGAGATGTCGAATGATACCGCGTTGGAGTGGCGTCGTGTCCCTTAGGAGCCTGGAAGGAGATCGGGATTCAGCAACAGGACCTCGTCGGTTGCGGCTGTCTCGTGTCTGGAGAGCTTGGTCGTCTTCCCTGGTTGACCAGGCTTACCTCTTCCTTTTCCCGGCTTCGAGAAGTCCTTCGACCGTGGAGCTGATGGTCCCATCGGCGCCCTCGACTAGCGTCTCCCATGTCCTGGAGACCTCCCACTCGGCGCCTCCGCGTTGTTTCCTCTTCTTTGCGCGCGAGGCCCCAGCGGGATCTCCACGATCGTGTCGAAAAACATTGTTGTCCTCCTCGTCTTCGGAAACCTCTCCGATGTAGTCCTCGTCCGAATCAGCCATGATGGAGTGTGTTGTGGGAAGATGTGGTAGAAGAGTAGAAAGAAGAAGATCGTGGTGGTGTTGGAGCTTTTTTCTTGTCCGGGGAGCCGATACTTACTGGACTGGGCGTGCCGTTACGTAGGAGCTTTCGCGCTGGATGGGTCCAAGCTCCGGCCCGAATGTTCTAAGCTTTCTTTTTCCTTTTCTTTTCTGTCTTTTTTACCTCATTTTATCTGGGAGTTGTTGTTATAGATTTCGTGAATATTGCTCACACTGTCGGCGAATTGTTATATATTTACATCCCAATCGTGATCAAACTCATACATAGAATTGCCAATCGCCGTCAGAAACCATCCCCCGAAGGTAACCGGCCTCAGGGTCAAGAATCATAGGAAAAGACATGTGGGGGAGGCGTCTTGCTCCTCCTACTGCTACCATTTGTCGTGCTCGACCACAGCCTGCGTCCCTCATTCTCCGCCGCCGCCGCCGCCTCTGCAACCCCTCCCCCTCCTCCTCCTTCTCGTCTCGTTCCCGCCCTCCTCCGTCTTCTCGCTCCCATCTCTCTTCGCGTGCTCTTAACGTGCGTTCAGTCGGCTTGGGTCTCCCTCAGTTATCTTTTACCAGGCATTGTTCTTCGGAATTCCGTGCCATGGCTGCGCAGGACAGAGAAATTCTCCCGGATGCGTAAGTGATAAACGCCCATGTCGTAGGGCCAAGAATGCTGCGCTGACAGAACCGCACAGGGTCAAGCCCATCAACTACCATGTCTCGCTGTTTGATCTGCAGCTGGGTGGTTCCTGGGCCTACAACGGTCTGGTCAAGGTAGACCTGACCGTGAAGCGCCCGACCAAGGAAATCGTTTTGAACTCCAAGGAAATCGAGGTTCAGACCGCCGAGGTCTTTGCTAAGGATGGTGGGTATCTCTCATCACAGCACATTGGTCCTCTCGAAACCTGGTGTTGTAGCTGACCGGGTCCCATCCACCGCAGGTGCCAAACTGGCGACGGCTTCCGACATCTCGTATGATAAGAAATCCGAGAGAGTCACCTTCACCTTTCCCCAGGAGATCACGTCTTCCGACGCTGTCCTGTCCGTCGCATTCAAGGGAACCATGAACAATGCCATGGCTGGCTTCTACCGATCCAAGTATAAGCCCGTGGCCGAGCCTGCGGCTGACACCCCCAAGGAGGATGACTTCTACTACATGCTGAGCACTCAATTCGAGTCCTGTGACGCACGTCGGGCGTTCCCCTGTTTCGACGAGCCGAATTTGAAGGCCACTTTTGACTTTGAGATCGAAGTTCCCCGGGGACAGACTGCTCTCAGCAACATGCCCATCAAGTCCGAAAGAGATGGCAGCAAACCGGGTCTCAAATTCGTCACCTTTGAGAGAACCCCTGTCATGAGCACCTATGTTAGTTTTCACCCTTCAGCTATGATGTAGGGGACTAACGCCGACCTTTCGTGCAGCTTCTGGCCTGGGCAGTCGGTGACTTTGAATATGTGGAGGCCATGACCCAGCGCAAGTACAACGGAAAAAGCATCCCGGTGCGCGTGTACACCACCAGGGGTCTCAAAGACCAGGCCGTCTTTGCCTTGGAGTGCGCCCACCGTACTGTTGACTACTTTTCGGAAGTCTTCGAGATCGAATATCCTCTCCCTAAGGCGGACCTTCTTGCCGTGCATGAGTTTGTAAGTGAACCATCATATGGAGAACCCCAGAGATGGTACGCTAACTCAGTCTCACCACACCAGGCCATGGGTGCCATGGAGAACTGGGGTCTGGTTACCTACCGGACGACTGCTGTCCTGTTCGATGAGGGTAAATCCGACACTCGGTATAAGAACCGCATTGCTTATGTGGTTGCACATGGTGAGTTCCAGTGCTACTAAGGCTGCCACTGCTCGTTCGCCTGACTGATGACCGTGTTTCACAGAGCTTGCTCACCAGTGGTTCGGTAACCTGGTTACAATGGATTGGTGGAATGAGCTGTGGTTGAACGAAGGATTCGCAACCTGGGTTGGATGGTTGGCAGTGGATCACTTTTACCCTGGTAGGACACCCTATGGCACCTCGCAATTACACCCAGGCAATGCTAACTTATTCGACAGAATGGAACGTGTGGTCTCAGTTTGTTGTACGCAACTCCCGAGGTAAATATCACATAATTTAGCAGAGGTTAACATTGCACAGGCTGAAGGTGTCCAACAAGCGTTCCAGCTCGATTCGTTGCGCGCCTCTCACCCAATTGAAGTCCCCGTGAAGAACGCCTTGGAGGTTGACCAGATCTTTGATCATATCAGCTACCTCAAGGGAAGCTCGGTGATTCGCATGTTGAGCAACCATCTCGGCCAGGAGACTTTCCTTCGCGGAGTGGCTGCGTACCTCAAGGCTCACGCATACGGTACGTGGATTAGAGTGATAGATGTGCTGGGAGTGGATATTGTGCTGACTATGTGTACAACAGGCAACGCCACCACAAATGACCTCTGGTCTGCCTTGAGCAAGGCTTCTAACAAGGATGTGAACAGCTTCATGGTGAGTTGCAGACTGAGCTATAGTATGTTTGTCGTCCTAATACGGCGATAGGACCCCTGGATTCGCAAGATTGGTTTCCCTGTCGTGACTGTGGCAGAAGAGCCCGGCCAGATCAGTGTTCGTCAGAACCGCTTCCTCTCGACAGGCGATGCGAAACCCGAGGAAGACGAGACGACCTGGTGGGTGCCGCTGGGCATCAAGTCCGGCCCGAAGATGGAGAATGTGAACAGCCTTGCGCTCGTTTCCAAGTCAGACACCATTCAGGATGTCGGTCAGGATTCCTTCTACAAGATCAACAAGGACTTGTCGGGATTCTATAGAACCAACTATCCTGCTAACCGCCTGGCCAAACTGGGCCAATCGCTGGACCTGCTGAGCACTGAAGACAAGATTGGCTTGATCGGTGATGCTGCTGCCCTTGCCGTGTCCGGAGAAGGAACCAGTGCTGCCTTACTGGCTTTGCTGGAGGGATTCAAGGACGAAACCAACTACTTGTGAGATCCTCGCGCTCTGCTCGAAGCAGACCATGACTGACGAACGTAACAGGGTGTGGTCTCAGATCTCCGCGTCTCTTGGCAACCTGCGTTCCGTCTTTTCGCAGCATGATGCTGTGTCTGCGGGACTGAAGAAGTTTACGTCTAGCTTGTCTTCTCCCGCGGCCGAGAAGATTGGCTGGGAGTTCAAGGAGAACGAAGACTATCTCACCGTGCAGCTCCGCAAGCTTTTGATCTCCATGGCTGGAATTGGTGGCGATGAAAAGTAAGTCGGGGGTTGTACTGGGTTAAGTTCTTTTCGTTTACTAACGCCTCTAAAGGGTTATCGCCGAGGCCAAGCGCCGATTCGATCTTTGGGCGAGCGGCAAGGACAAGAGTGCGGTGCACACCAACCTCCGCTCCGCCATCTTTGGCATTTCGGTGTCCGAGGGCAGCCGTGCCGAATATGATGCGGTGAAGCAGGAGTACCTCAAGACGGATTCGGTGGATGGCAAGGAAATTTGCTTGGCCGCGCTTGGACGGACGAAGGATGCTGCCCTAGTGACGGACTATCTCGACTTTGTGTTCTCCGATAAGGTCGCCATCCAGGATGTCCACAATGGAGCGGTCTCGTTGGCTGCGAACTCCAAGGTCCGCCACCTGCTCTGGGAATACATGAAGAAGAACTGGGCTGCAGTGGAGGCTCGGCTGTCGACGAACAACGTGGTGTTTGAGAGATTCGTGCGGATGGGTCTGTCGAAATTTGCGGATTCCCAGGTCGGCGCGGAGATTACGTCGTTCTTCCAAGACAAGGACACCAGCGCTTACGACCGGGCCTTGGTGATTGTGTCGGACAGCATTCGGACCAACGCGCGGTACCAGGAGCGGGATGAGAAGCTGGTGTTGGAGTGGCTTCAGGCTCACGGGTACGCATGAGCAGGGAACGTATGGGCGGAAGTTACGTATTATTATTAAGACTGTTCGTGGAATGCATTCATTCATTCTGCTATTCACAAGATCTATGAATAGACGCTAAAGACGGCGTAAATGAAAGATTCCTCTACAGGGCGGCGCTAGACCCAAACAGGCGGTGTCATGGGTCTGGGGCGGGCGGAACGTGAAACGGTCACAGAGACAGAGACACCGACTTAGTAACCTGCACGCTGGGCTCGCCTGCTCTCCTGCACTCCTACTAGGTCGGCCACCCTTCAACTCATTTCACCTGCGATCCCATCCTACTCGACACTCCCAGCCAACGATTCTGACATCAGTTTGCTGCTACCACTCCATTTCGTCCGCCTTCCCATCGCTCTCCGCTGTTGCCTTGGACTGTTTCGCCTTCTCATCACCTCCTTTTCCACCCCGTTGTCCGCCTCGTCTTTTGTTATCCCCCATCCCATCCTCCATCCATCATCATGAACCCCGAGTGGTAAGTCGTCAGATCGCCCTGGGATCTCGCCCACCGAGTTCCTGGGTTACCCTGCTATTTCTACCAGATCGTCCTCTATCCCCCTCTCTCCGAGTCCGTTTACTGACGCGTTTGCGTATCCAACAGAGTCCCCTCCGTGTTCCCCTCTCCCGCCCATAAGCTTTGGATCCTCGTTTCGTCAGCGGGGAGAGTCGACGGCCGGGATCGGTCGAAAGAGGATGGGTGTTAACAGCGAAACAGATACGATTATCTCTTCAAGCTCCTCCTCATCGGAGACTCTGGTGTCGGAAAGTCTTGCTTGCTTCTTCGATTCGCCGACGACACCTACACGGAAAGCTACATCTCCACCATCGGTGTCGACTTTGTACGTGAATGACTTGCAACCTGCCTTCCGTTACCCTTTTTAGATCGTTGGAAACTACATTATCGGCCATCCCCCATCATGTCACTGACCCATTTGCAGAAAATCCGCACAATCGAGCTCGATGGAAAGACGGTGAAGCTTCAGATCGTAAGTCACCTCGATCCCTCCACTCTTTCTTTGACTTTATTCCATAATCGTGACGACTAACACCGCCTAGTGGGACACTGCTGGCCAGGAGCGGTTCCGCACCATCACGTCGTCTTACTACCGCGGTGCTCACGGTATCTGCGTTGTGTACGATGTGACGGATATGGACTCGTTCAACAACGTCAAGCAGTGGCTCCAGGAGATCGACCGCTACGCCACCGAGGGAGTCAACAAGCTGCTCGTGGGCAACAAGAGCGATATGGAGGACAAGAAGGTGGTGGAATACACGGTGGCCAAGGTAGGCGCTTCACCCTTGTGCCTGGAGCTGACCCTAGTGTCAGCGATATAGATGGATGCTTACTCTTCTTTTTACAGGAATTCGCCGATAGTCTCGGAATCCCCTTCCTGGAGACCTCCGCCAAGAACGCTTCCAACGTTGAACAGGCCTTCCTGACGATGGCTAGACAGATCAAGGAGCGCATGGGCACTGCGACCGTCAACAACAAGCCGACTGTGCAGGTCGGCCAGGGCCAGGGTGTCCAGTCTGGATCCGGCGGTGGCTGCTGCTAGATCAGTCGTCCGTGTGCTGTAGATTCCAAGCTCTCAGTGACTCCAGGATCTCCGGAATCTAACGGGGGTCCTGGTCCCCTTTACGCAAACACCGCATGGCACCCCGTACAGTGAGCTTGTTTCTTTTGTTTCCCAGCCCAAGTGGTTTATTGGGGATCGTGTCGACTTTCACCATGCTTTAGACGGCCTGCGTTTGTGTCTTTAATTGTGCTCACATCACCGGTGCTTATCGGGTTTCGTTTCCCCCTCTGCCCTATTTCTTGTTCTGTGGTTTCCTTGTGACAGCATCTCTACATCAGTTCTCTTCCAATATTTTATTAGTAGGTTGGATTGCTTGCGAACCTTTTTTTCTTTTATTTTCTCTTTTTCTTTGTCGGGATCGAATAATGGAGAAGATCGTGAATGTTTCTTATGGATATGCTTATTGAAAATATGACACTAGCCTGCAAGAAGTGTGTAGTCTGTCTGAGCATATGATGGGGTTAGTAATCGTGGTTGTTGAGGAATGCTGGAACAATAGAATGAGAATGTCACATGCGCCATCTTCCTCCTGACAGGAACAACGCCAAGTCATTTGATCTAAATGTAATCATCAATGCAGGTAGTGGATAGATGTGGTTATTGGCACGAGTGTGCCTTTCAATGGCGATCTACATGGTCAGATTGGGGTAGAAAGCCTCGGCTGGCTGGAGAGCATCGTGTACAGAGTAGATGAAATGAAGTACCTGGTATGGAGAATCATAAACCATGTGGTATGTCCCTATTGTGTAGACACAGGTACCTAGGTACATTCAGAGGAAGATAGACCTATTGAACAGTACAAAGAGCGACATATTCTTTCCATGGTACCTAATATCTCTATACTCCGTAGATACAAAGTGGTCGACCCCAGGGAGATGAACCGAGGCTCAGCATTCGGCAAACGTCATGAAAATCATCATACTCCATTTCGATGCCGGCCCATTCTCGCGTTCCGACCAACGACCTACCTCTTCTGCTCGACTCCCCTTTATTTCCCTCCCTTCATTCCCCGTCCTTTTCTTTTCTCTCCCACGTTCTTCTTTCGCTCCTTGTGATTCCCGACTTTAAGTTGCTGGTGTATACCGACCCAACAATCCACCCCTCTCGATCAACTCCACACCGTTCCTTCATCTTTCTATAGATCCCTTCAACTCCTCACCATGTCTCAATCCAGAGTGGAAACCCAGAAGCGGGCGGTCGCCGCATCGGCGGCCGCTCAGCAGAGTGATAATATCGCGCACGCATTGGCAGGCGCTGGTGGAGGTATCCTGTCCATGGTCTTGACGTACGTTAACCCCCCTCTCGTCGTCTCAACGGAGCTTGGCTAACCTCCCATCGACAGGTACCCTCTGATCACCCTCTCTACGAGAGCCCAGGTCGAGTCCAAGCGGGCCCAATCCACAACAATCGATGCCATTCGGCGGATCGTCCAGCGGGAAGGATTTGGGGGACTGTATTCCGGGCTGGAATCGGCGCTCTTCGGCATCAGCGTCACCAACTTCGTCTACTACTACTGGTACGAGTGGACCCGGTCGGCGTTTGAGAAGGCCGCCGTGAAGGCCGGCCGCGCCTCGAAGAAGCTCACCACGGCCGAGTCCATGATCGCGGGCGCCATTGCCGGCAGCGCGACCGTCCTGATCACCAACCCCATCTGGGTCATCAACACGCGTATGACGGCCCGCAAGGCCAACGCCGACGAGCAGGCACTCCCCGGCGGCGCCGCCGCCAAGAAGTCGCGGCCGTCGACGATCGGTACGCTCATGGAGCTGCTGCGCCAGGAGGGCCCCAAGGCACTCTTTGCTGGTGTCCTGCCCGCACTGATCCTCGTCATCAACCCCATTCTGCAGTACACCATCTTCGAGCAGCTGAAGAACATGGTGGAGCGCCGGCGGCGCATGACGCCGAAGGATGCGTTCTATCTGGGTGCGCTGGGCAAGATCCTGGCCACCTCAATCACGTATCCGTACATCACCGTCAAGAGCCAGATGCACGTGGCGAGCAAGGATGGTCCCAAGGAGAGCCTGAACGGCAGCCTGAAGCGGATCATCAAGGAGGAGGGTTATGTAGGTCTCTACAAAGGTATGTCGATGGATTGCCGAGGGACCCTGTTGCATGATACTGACTTGATGGTTACAGGCATTGGACCCAAGGTCACTCAGAGTGCGATCACCGCGGCGTTCTTGTTTGCCTTCAAGGATGTCTTGTATGACATGATGGTGTCTCTGAGAAAGAGAGGCCGTGTTGCCAAGTAAATCGCTAGGATCGAGACACTGTTTGGGTGAGGAACAGTGTCGTGCCTGGAGCAAGAGGGGGTACATACTCCCTCCGTATGTGTATAGGCATCTTCATGGCTGTACTTGGCTCACGGAGTATACAGGAGACTAGAAGTGATGGGAGTAAGAGTGTAAGATGTCCTCAAGTCGAAGTATATAAATTGGCTCCGTAAATACATGTTTTTAATTTTGCCTGATCATAATAGGATCTCGAGCGCTCTAAGCCTTCCCCCGATCTGTTCTTCCGATGCCATTCCATCTACTTGACTCGTAATGATGTGTATGTGATACCACTAGTACAGAGCGAGCGCACCGCCTACCAGAACGGGCTATAGAGCATTTTTGAGCGGAGGCGGGATGGAAACACGACCGCATGAATGCGCGTTCACGCGTTGGCGGTCAAGTCGAGGAGAGGTTTACAATACAGGGTTAAGGAGGGGAAGAATCGTCTGGACCTGTCGAGATCTAGGAGCCTGCTTGTCTGAAGCCTACGGTATAGACTTCATCCTTATCAGGATATTTGGTACGCGCAACTCCTCTAGACATACTTACCTCCATCATCCCACTCTAACGACATGCTACTCCATCTAGACCAGGGATACGGATTCGAACGTTAGTCTATGTCACCCGCTCGGCTTATAACACATCTATTGTTGGCCTGACAGAGCCAACCCTATCTGTGGCATGGAATGACATTTCCGTCCGCGGTAGCCTGGTGATTTCAATGTCCATTTGCAGTTCACTTTTGGATCACTTGGGGCTCAATAGACGTGTTGGTCTAGGTACAAGTGAACGGATTAACACCCTCAGACACACGCCTCTTCCTCTCTTATCCCTTATCAGCCTTATATTCCGCCTCTAAGGCTAGTCCGCTACGCATCCTGATATGAATCCCATCCGTCCGTCGAATCGCCAGTCCGAGACCTACCTACATGTCGCATACCATGACCCAACGATTTCCGGGTTCAGGGAACCAAAGGAATATACCGGGCAGGGCCAGTTCCGCATATACGCCGCTGGGGCCAGACGATCCGGAAATAATCGAGGAGGCCAAGGTGTTACTGGCACAATTCATAAAGCACTCGACTCAAAGGACGCGGGCGTCGAGCGAGACAGTAACGAACCGTATAAATGGGACCTCTCATGACCGTGCAGGTCGGCGCGCTGCGGCCAGTCCCAGTGCCCCCGCCGGGGGACAGGCCGTAGTGAATGGGTGGCAAGCGACCTGTACTAAGCCTGAGGACCACAACCCCACGGGCGCATCAACAAAGAACCCTGAACCCCCGCAAACCCGCGAGACACCCCATTCTCCTCTGCGCAGACAAACGCGAGGCTGCGAACCGGGGTCTTCTGCTGAGCCACCCGCAAGCGAGGCGCTGCCAGCCGCGCGCAAACGCGCCTCGTCATCAATGTCCAAGCGAGCCAGACGCACGCCAAACCTCCCTTCCAAAGAGAATTCGCCCGGTAGCGATATGGTCCAACCTACAGGAATTCGGCGCTCTCGACGTTCGCGCACTGGTCCCGCCAACTACTACCAGAACCCGACGCTTTCGGATTTCGAAAAAGAAGATGATCACGACTACCAAGACGAAGATGAGGAGGAGGAAGGCTCGAGAAGCTATCAGCCAGCGAGTCTCGCGTCTCACCTGCGTCGCCGGGATACGAGCACGCCCATATGTATTCTTGATCGACCAGTGAGAAGCAGTCCGGCTGTCGGTTCTACAGGTGTCAGGCCTACCCGGGATGCGATGGTATATTCTTCGCGAACTGCGCAGATAATCAAATATCCTTTTGTCGCGGGTGAGACGGAGAAGCGTCTGACCCGTTGGCCATATTTTCCTGGACGCAAGACTGTGGATTCCCTGAAACGACTTTCTCGTGAGAGACTGCAGACCGGTACAATTCTCCACGTTGATTTTGACCACCAGGAAATCACGGCTTTGCTGGCATTGTTGTCGTTTTATGAGGTCCAGCCGCCGTCACAACCCGATACTGCGCTCGCTGATTGCGCTATCCAAGCCCTTTCAAGTCCAAGGCTCCCGTTCAACTTGCCCAAAAAGCTGTCCCGACTATGCAGGCTATCTCGGGCTGCGGTGGAGGAGGGAGTCGCTGACACCAAAGCATGGCTCACCGAAAACTTGACATCTGGTAACAACAAGCGATCACAAAAGGTCAGGCGCTTGCTATGCAAAGCTTTGAAAATCGACGCAGAAGGGGAAGAGTTCACAATGTCAGACGGCCAACTGCGTCCAGACATAGCGGACAAAATCTACAAACTGTCGGGATGCTTACAGCACGCTTTTCACCTGAGTAGACGGGAAAGAGCCGATATTGAGTCATTTGTGGCGGATGCCAGAGAAGAGAATGTTCCGACCGTTCCCTATGTGTTCAGAGTGCAGCCAGTGAGCGAGAGTCCATCAACCCGCAAGACCACTCCACGCCATGGTTTAAGTGAGCTTATGCGACAGCGTGAGATGGGTGGGCGTGCCCACCGCGAAATCCAGTCCAATACTGCGAAAAATTTGGGAGTCACGAGGACGTGGAAAGGTGCATCCAATGATGTGATCGTGGCAGCGTGGTCTCCAGACGGAACTCGATTCGCAGCGGGAGCTACAGCCCAATGCGACGAGCATAATATGGAGTATAACCGGGGAAATAATCTTGTCTGGGGAGACCTCACCACTAACGTTCTAACGGAGCTCCCTGATCACTGCATTCCTCGGCCTCCAGGAAGGAGTTCTGTGAGCAGAACAGTGAATGACGCTCGATTGTTCATGAGTGTATCCTCGATGGAATGGCATGACGATGCTCTGTTTACGGCAAGCTATGACAACACGGTCAAGCTGTGGGATTTTCCAAATAATACCGCGCGGTGCTTCAAGACCCTCCGCCATGACTCCAGAGTAGAGGTCATGGCTCGATCCAAGTTTGCGGGCGATCTTCTGGCTACTGGGACGAATTCCATCGGGTTATGGCATATTCGAGAGTCGCGGTACTATCCCCTCAGTCTGTCGGGGCTACGCTCGCAAAAGGAACTGATCCCAACGTCTCTGGCATGGGGGACCATACCGGCCACGCAGAACATTCTTCTCGCGGGCATGTCAGAGAAGGAGGAGGGTGTCTCCAGGAATGGGTTTCTGGCAGCGTGGCAGGTAGGGCAGGGCATCGCAACGCCGATGCATTTGCTTCCCAACTCACAGAATATCTTCGACATCAAATGGCATCCCACGTTACCGTTGTTTGTGACGGCGAGTGCTGCTTCGCTCGGAGGTCCACGCACTCACAGGGACACGCGGTCTGTCGTGCGTCTGTACCAACCATTCCCCGAAGAGATGCGCATGCGGCGCACGATCGAGTTCGAGTGTCCAGCTTTAGATATCAACGATGTGGCTATCTGTCCGAGCAGCTCTAACTATGTGACGGCTAGTTGTACGGACGGGGTGACTTATGTTTGGGACTCGCGTCGGCCAGACCAGGTCCTGCATCGGCTTCGTCATGGCGCGCCGCTGAATCAGATCGACGAACTGATTGACAGGGAGCAAGCGGACGTCGGGGTGCGAATGGCGATTTGGGGGACGGGGACAGATCAGTTCTATACGGGTGCTTCGGACGGCGTGCTCAAACTCTGGGATATCACACGCTCTCCCGACGACGTCCTCGTCCAGGACGTGGCCAATCTCCAAGAAGAGATCATGTCGGGAGCGTTCTCCGCCGATAAATCGAATCTCCTGATCGGGGACGCTGCTGGGGGCATCCACGTCCTGTCCTCCGGACCGTTCAGTCAAGACGAGAAACGTTCCTTTCAGTTCAAACGTGCCCAAGTCTCGGAGGACCAGCCGAGTGCTGAGACAGGGGTTGCGATCTCGAGGGAATATACCTCGACTGGGAGACTTGTTCGGCATCCCATTTATGGCTATGGAAAAGGCCCAAACTACGACGGGCCGTTTGCATCCTGGGCTCGTCCGGTGGGCACGCCATCCCATGAATTGGCTACCACGCCACTGAATGAGGACAGCCAGATACGGCAGTTCGAGGGGCCGCCTCTTGCGTATCGTACTGGACTAAGTGCAGCAGAGAGGGCAGAGTTCGAAAGACGGCTCCAGCTCTGTCGCATCCGCAACCAGCTTCGGAACGTGCACAAAAGGAAGAGAGAGTCTGGGAGGATTCGTCCGAAGAGCGATCCCGGTTCTTCCTACAGCAACTTTGTAGACTTGTGCAGTGACGAGGAGATGGACGCGGAGGAAACGAAACCGCCCATCGCCAAGGCGCAATACGCACCCACGCACCAAGACATCGAAGTGATTGACCTTACCGGGGATACCGATTCGGAGACAGTTGAGGCAGCTGATGTCGTCAAGAGAGTGGCTGTGTCCAAGACTAAGACTAAGACCAGACGGCTTCACTTTGATGAACTTGCCAGTTTGCTGGAGGCGCTGGAGGAGGATTTTTGGTGGCCCGACAACAAGGACATTGATGCTAATTTGGACGATGCCGACTGATGTGTCTGCCGAAGAGTGCATCTTTAATATGAACCTGTAAATAATACTACCTGTATCATACTCCTCTTAACATGTATCAACGTAAGAACGTGGCTGAGCAGCGCCACGCCGTTGATAGTTGCCTCCCCCACTCGGCTATTCTTCCGATAATCTATATCTCCATCATCTCTCCCTCTCCCTCCCTCTCTCTCTCATCCATCTTACAACCTCCCTCTCACACATACACCATGTCCTTCGCTCCGCCACCAGGCCCGCCGCCTCCCTCCGTCCCAGAGGGATGGAAAGCCCAGTTCGACGACCGCTACAAACAATGGTACCCCCCGTCTCCCCCAAACCGACCAGACACCCAACTAACCAATCTACCAGGTTCTTCATCGACCTCAGCACCGGCAAATCCCAATGGGAACCTCCCGCCGCCACACCCGCCGCTCCACCCCCCTCGGAACCCATCCACGCTCCCCCAACAGACGCACCACCCCCGTCCTACGAAGCCGCGGGCCCCGCAAACCCCGCCGCCCTAGCCAGCGCCGCCGCCGCTGACAAGAAACGACCCTTCTCCTCGAACAACCCGTACGGTCACCCGGACGGCCCATCCACATCCACCCCCAGCACGCTGGACAGCGACGCCCGGCTCGCGGCGCAGCTCCAGGCGGAGGAGGACGCCCGCGCGCGGGGGAGTCACAGCCCGGCCCAGCCGCAGCTGCAGAAGGGTGACTCTGGCGCCGCGGCGGATTACTACGCTGATGCTGCGCGGCCGCAGGCCTCGCCTGCCGCGGCGTCACCGGTTCCTCCGGCCGAAACCAAGTCGAAGAGTAAGGGCTTCTTTAGTAAGCTGATGGGGAAGTCGTCCTCGTCCTCGTCGCAGTCGCCGGCGGGATACGGATACGGTCGTCCCGCTCCGCCGCCGCCCCAGCAGCAGGGGTACTACCCGCCGCAGCAGGGGTATGCGCAGCCTGGCTACTACGGTGGATACCCGCCGCAGCCCGGGTACGGGGGCTACCCGCCCGCACACGGAGGCTACTACCAGCAGCAACAGCAGGCGCAGCGACGGCCCGGGATGGGGATGGGGGCGATGGCGGGCGCCGCAGCGCTGGGTGTCGGCGGCGGGTTGATTGGAGGGGCGTTGTTGGCGGATGCGATTGACGATCATGATGATTATGGGGGCGGGGATTATGGCGGTGGGGATTTTGGGGGTGGAGATGACTTTGGAGGTGATTTCTAGTTGTCCTGCTATGGTGTACTCCGTATACTCCGTGTGTTTTTGAGCGTTGCTTGAGTTCGGTGGGTTTTTTTATCACGTCTATGTTTACGTATGTTATGTACTGTCTATGTAGTTAGTTGCACGAGATCAGATTGAGCATCGCACCTAGTTTATATCCTCCATACTCCTCAACACAACTCAGTCTACTCCGTACTTCATACCGTAAGGACAGGACTACCTCCGCCGCGCAGCACCCCCCTCCCGTGCACTCGACACCCCTCCCTGTGCCTGCGCCTGCGCCTGCGTCTGCCCCTGGGCAGGACCCCGCGGCGTCGCCCCAGCCATCCATCCAGCCAGATCGAAATTCGGCGCACCACCGCCGGCAACCGCACCCCGCGCAGCGCCCGTAATAGGCGACGCACGCGAGTGTGCCTCGAACTCGGCGCGCATTTCGGGGTCCACTACACACACGCATACGCATTAGCCCATCTCCACCGGTAAGATAGGAGGGGAACGGGGAAAAAAACGTACTATTTTCCATCAACTTGGGCATGCCAAAGGTAAACCCCAGCGCGACGAGCGCGAGCAGGATCATCGGGTTCTTGAACAGCGAGAGCGGGGAGACTACATCACCACCGTAACATTAGCAAGCCAACCCTCGCAGGTGACGAAAGAGTCCAGGGTATAGAGTAGGGTAGGGTAAGGGGCAAGGACATACACTTCGACCTCTGTTCGTAAAACGCCCTCCGCGCAACCACCCTCGCCTCGACGGTCACATCGCCCTGGCCCTGTGCCTGTCCCTTGTCACCCGTGGCGGCGAATTTCTCCACTCCGCGGTTATCCCACGGATTCCCGCGGAACGTCTCCCACACTCCAATCACGGAGCCGTCGGCTGCGACGTCGACGCGGTACGGGGCGAAGACGAACTCCTTGGAGCGGATGTCGAGCAGATACGACTCCGGCTGCGAGGTGGGTAGACGGTGGAAGACAAAGGTGGCGGAGCGGGTGAGCGGGGCGGTGATCGGATGGGAGACGAGGCCATCCTGTGCGCCTGGCAGCGAGGTCAATGTCGCGTGGGTGCCGGCCGGAAGGGCATTGGGGTTCGGGAGCAGCGTGGACGGGGGAATGGTGATGGTCAGGGCGGAGGCGACCGTCGTGGTGACGGTGGCCAGGACCGAGAGGAGGGACAGTACGGAAAGTCCTGGGAGGTGCATGGTGTGGGTTGTATCCAGAAGACGAGGTGAAGGTTGAAGGTTATTGACAGATCGGAGGTGAGGTACTCCGTAGTGGATGCTATGATGCCAAGAGATCACATGTCCGGCAGTCTAACGGCTACTACTCGCTTCACAATTACACTCTTCAACATTTATACTTCATATACGCTCGTATGAACAAACCCATGTATATATACAAGTAACCCCTCCCATCTATACAACTATACACATCTACAGCTTGGCCCGCGGGGTCTCCTCCGCATTGGCCGCCGCATACAGCTCATCCAGGAGCTGGCGGTACATCTTCGTCGTAGGAGGACGCTTGAGTTTCAAACTGTCGTCTCGTTAGCATCATCCCAAACCCACAGTCAGGCAACTTACGTCGGCGTCAAGAGGTTGTTCTCCACGGTAAACGGCTCCATCATCAGAGCGCAGTTCTTGACCCGTTCATATCCCGCAAGCTTGTGCTTCTTGGCCACCCGGTCGAAATCCTTCAGAACCGCCTTGCGGATCTTCTCGTCATCCAAGACCGACTTGATCTCGGATTCCGCAATGGTCCGGCCCAGCACCTTGCTGGCGAAAGGCGCGAACATGTCGGGCTGAACGCCAAAGATACCCACCAAGAACGTCTGCATGCTGTCTCCGTGGATGTATCCCTGGGCCAGGTAGCCCAGCTCCGACAGGTACACACCTTCCAGGCGCTCGGGCGAGATGTACTCGCCCTGGGCCAGCTTGAGGACGTTCTTGCGACGGTCGATGATCACGATGCGGCCCTTCTCGTCGATCGTGCAGACATCGCCAGTACGGAACCATCCGTCCTCTGTGATTGCCTTGCTGGTCTCTTCCGGGTTCTTGAAGTATTCCTTGAAGACGTTGCCACCGCGCAGGAGCAACTCGCCACGGGGGAAGGGCTTGTCATCGACCGAGTACTCCATGTCAGGCAGAGACAGCAGACAAGCCTCGGTGCAGGGAGCGAGACGGCCGCAGTTGCCCGCGGTTAGATCCTGCCGGGACTGGGCGCACGCCATCGCGTAGGTCTCGGTCAAACCATAGCCCTGCAGAAAATCGGCGCCAATCGCCACGCGTAGGAAGTTGTGCAGGGACGGGTCCAGAGGGGCGGAACCGGAAACCATCACTCGGGCGCGTTCCAGACCGAGAGCTGCGGCCACCTTCTTGGCCCAGATGCGGTCGTACAGCGCATGCTTCACCGTGGCTTTGGAAGGGTCCGGGTTCTTCAGGTTGGCAGTCTTCGCAGCCACGACGTGTCTGGAGAGAGCACCCTTGAAACCGGGGGCCTCAATGGTCGACGCACGAATGGCATTGCCAAAGCGGCTGTACAGGCGGGGAACCGAGATGAAGCCGGTTGGCTTGAGCAGCTTCAGGTCATCGACCAGCTCCACGATGTTACCGTGGAAGTAACCGATACGAGCGCCTGCATAGAAAGCGAGGTGCTCCGACAGACGGGCGTAGATATGGGCGAGGGGGAGATAAGAGGCAAAGGTGTCTCCCTGGTTGTGGTCGGTCAGAACGAGACCGGCGGCCACGGCGGCCGTGGCGTTTCCGTGGGTCAGGACCACGCCCTTGGGCGGGCCAGTGGTACCGGAGGTATAGTTGATGGTGACAATGTCCTCGGGGGAAGGGGGTTGCATGGCACGGCCGGAGGAAGCACCGAGCTGCTCCACCTCGTCGATCGTATAGATGGACACATCTTGGCCGGCGGCCACAGACTCCAGCAGAGCGCGCTTGGAATGGCCGGCCTGCTCACCGGCATCCAGGGGATCCAAGCTGACAATGAACTTGAGATTCGGCAGCATGGGCTTCAATTTCAACAGGGTAGGGATATGAGGCAGAGAGGTCACGACGCAGCTCAACTCCGCGTGGTTGATGATGTACTCGGTGGCATCGGCCGCGAGGACGTCGTAGATGGAGACCGAGTACAGGCCTTGGGACATGCACGCAAGGTCTATGAAAATTAGTTGCGCAGTTCAAACTAGACGGTATGTCAGGCGGGAATGCCTACCAGTGATCTGCCACTCGGGACGGTTCTGACACCAGAGTCCGACACCATACTGGCCAGTCCGCAGACAGCCATGCTTCTGGTGCAACTCGACCAGACCGGCACCGAAGTCCGTGCGGCGCTTCTGGACGGTCTGATAGTCGATCCATTGGTAGGGGCCATAGGTCTTGTCGACCGGGTTGTAGGGACGCCATCCGAGACAGTGGCTTTTGGGCAGGCGATTGGCGGTGAATTCGAAAATGTCATGCGCGGTGCGGACCTGGGGGTCCAAGGTGGTGATGAGCTCCTTCTGGGTGTTCCAGGCGCGGTAGATTGGACTCCGGCCGGGCTGTTCCGTGCCGGGGATGGGCACCGAGTAGGGAGTGCCTTTTGGAGGCTCCCGTTTGAGCTCCTCGGCGCGAGCGAGATGGATGGGTTGTTGCGAGAAGAACATGATGGGTATCTATCTATCTATGGACTGGGAGGGGTCAGAAGAGGGTTGGATCAAACGGAAATGCAAGGGACTACGCACACCGATGCGCAAGCAGCAAACGGACAAGAATGGAATGCTCGGCGAGTCGGATCGGGAGAATGGCCGTTGGAGGCGGAGCCGGGTGGGTGGGTCTTCGGGAACTCGTCGGGATGAAACAAAAGGGAAAGAGTGAACTGGAGAGAAGAGAAGAGAAGTGAAGAAGAGAATGAAGATATGGAGATGAAGAGAGTGAAAGGGAAGAAAGAGAGAGAGAGAGAAAGAAGAAAGGAGGGCGGAGGACAAATAATAGCGAGGGCGAATCCCGATTCGGAAAGTGCCCCTTCCCCGCCATGCACGCCGACTGGTCCATTCGCCTCCACGCGATGAAAGTACCTCGGCACTTTCTCTATTATAGAGTGCATAGTAATTATTATACTAGTGTAGGTACACATATTATTCATCTTAAGAGGATCAGAATGCCGAGGCCAGTCGCAAGCCTCACCCCATTCGTCCACCCCCCTCAGCCAGGATGGAGCGGATGACCGCCTCTCGGGGCAACCTCTGTTCTAGATTAGCTCCGGGGCAATAGATGGAGTATGAATATTGTCATGGCAATCAGTCTTCTCCAGACATCCACTCCAATCGTCTATCCGTCTATCCCGTATTCCCAATCCTCCTAACTTCTCCGACTAAACGTATACTCTGTATACAGGTCTTCCCCTGGTTCGTGAGGTCCTCCACCAATCCAAAACTTAACCATCCGGCCGGCGATCGTCACTGGATCGTCACTGTCCTGCACGTGTGGATTTCATGTGAAACTTGCTGGCCTCCACATGAACTGAACACTGTTTAATTCTCCCGGCGCCACCGACGTTCAGATGATATCGGTGACATGTGGATGGCACGGGGTACCCCAGAGCTGACTAAGGCAGGATCCATCCAGGGATATTCAGATATTCACTATCTAGTCAATTTGACGATGTTCTACAGGTACAGGCATATTGGAAAATCATGTATGTATGATATATGATACAGCTTGTCTATTATATACCTAGGTACTCGCAATATACATATGCTCATGCAACCAAACAACACCCAGTGCAAAACGCAAAAGAAAAAAGAGGAGAAGAATATGTCCAGTAAGGTTACCCCAGAATCGCCTCATAAATCTTCATATACCACT